AATAGTATCCAGCAACAACCACAAAAACTCTGGTCCTAACGTTTAGTTTGGGAAGAGGGGAGGGTCAGCAGCTGCTGGGAGAAAGCAAGGTGGGGGTGGGGGAGGTGGAACAGCATGTGTGAATTAACACTGTCATCTAACAGACTTAGGGTATTACCAGGAAAGACTGCAAATGCTGTTTCACAAGGGGATTACGTGGGAGCAGAGCCTCCTGGCATATTCTTTATAAACCAGAAGTAATGTTTACATTACACATAAGAGTCCTTTAATAAATGCAGTACTTTCTGGGTCCAGAAATTAAAGGGACATTAAGAAACCCCTAATTTCTCCTAAACTCTTGGTTTGAAAAATTTCAAAGGTTTCTGCCAGAAAGCTTACAGTCTAGCCAGGAAGAGAGAGCTTAGGAAGCTAACTTCAAGTGTGACTGACCATGATGAAAAGGAGGGCGAGATTCTGCAAGCGGACAGAAATTAACCCAAGGAAGCGCCTTAGGCCGTGACCGAGAGACTGCTGTGGAGGCAGAGGCGTGGGTGCCTGTGGAGGGACATGACAAGTACAAAAGCCTCAGGTAAGAGAGAATAAGACTCCTTAAAAAAAAAAAAAAATATTGCTTGATTTGAGAGAGAGAGAAACACCAGTCTGTTGTTCCACGTATTCGTGCACTCACTGGTTGATTCTTGTAGGTGCCCTGACCGGGTATCGAAGCCGCAACCTTGGCACATCGGGGTGATGCTCTAACCAACTGAGGCACCGGGCCAGGGCAGGACTCCTTTCAGTTCAGTGGACGGCAGGCGGCCGGGGAGGTGAGCCCGGAGCACTGGGTAAGCGTGCACTAGACCACGTTAAAGGTTCTGGACTGGGAAAGCCATGGTAACGAGACTCGGTTTTTCTAGTTCCATCAGTCTAGTTTTACCAGACTTCCTATTCCTCAGCATCTGAATACTGGGATCAAACATAAACTTCTTTACTCTCGGGCAGGTTCCTTAGTTTCCTGCCCTGTTGAATACTGTATGCCATACCGCCGTTGCTAAGCACTTTATACACATCTTCATTCAATCTCCAGAACCATGAGAAGGAGGTGACACTACTACAAGAAGGGAAACTGAGTAGTTAAGCATTTGCCCCAGGTTGCACGGCAGAGGCCAGGAACAGAGCCCGGTCACAAGCCCAAGGAGTCCGATCGCATTCTAGCACTGGGGGTTCAAGGTAAGAGGTTATTCTTCCCTCTAAGGAACTTGTAGTATAGTGGGGAATACTTCACTGAAGCTCTCAATGAAATGTTTTTTTTTTTAAACAGGATTTATTTACTTGTTTGTTTTAGAGAGGGGGGAAAGGAGGAACAGAGGGAGTAAAACATCGACGTGTAAGAGTGACATAGCTCAGTCATCTGTCACATACCCCAACTGGGGGTCTGGACCCAAACCCAGGCAAGTGCCCTGACCAGGAATCGAACCAGCAACCCTTTACTCCAAAGGCCAGCGCCCAATCCAATGAGCCACACTGGCCATTTACAAGTGAAATTATGTTTTAGTTGAGATTTGAAGGATGAGTTGGGAGAGGGGCTATGAACCTCAGAGGCGAATAAGCACAGGTGTAACAAACGTAACCATGCCCATAAGTATGGAGTCTGCAGATCCACTGGTATTATGAATATGACACTCACTCCCCATACTCATAAGGAGACACACAGCCTGAACAGAAACCAAACCTAACTTTCCCAAGATTATTCTTCAGAGAAATTCTCTTCGTAAACTCAGGAAGGAAAACAGTAAAGTCCTGTAAAATCAAAATAATAACTGAAAATACACACTAGAGCTAATATTTGCCTAGTGGCAAAGGTCAGGGTCATTTCTTTTTTTTTTTTTTAAGTTTTTATTTATTTATTTTTAGGGAGAGGGGGAGGGAGGGAGAAAAAGGGAGAGGAACATCAATGTGTGGTTGCCTCTCGTGCCCCCCACTAGGGACCTGGCCTGCAACCCAGGCATGTGCCCTGACTGGGTATTGAACCGGCAACCCTTTGGTTCGCAGGCCAGCACTCAACTCACTGAGCCACACCAGCCAGGGCTCAGGGTCATTTCTTGATAAACGTAGATAGGCCTTTCCTTTCTCCATCAAGCTCTGCCCTCGTTTCCAGGAGCAGGGAAAATACCTTCTCTAATTTTTTTTATCTCCCCATCTACACAAGGCCCATCACTTAGCACTTAGCTGTTGTTTCCCAGACCAAACTGGATTCCCAACACTTTCTTAGGACTTTATAATACAGCCTGTAAATCCGGCCCCCAAATTTTCCTCTTTCTCCATCTCCTTTGCTTGCCCCAGGGGAAGAATTTTGCTTAAAATGAGTTTTCTTCTAAAGTGTTCTTTGCCAAAGTGCACTTCATGTAACCTGCCGGTCGATCTACTCATGTTTTCACAGGTGTTTGTGTCATTAGGGTACCATCTGACCTCTAGTGGCGTTGAGGGACACAGTGCACCATGGTTACTTTGCTTTTACATTTCTTGTATAAACATGTTGACTAAGTCCAAAAGCTGCATCTGAAAAACAACTACGGCACATCAAGCACAGAAGGTTAAAATGGGCAATTCCGATGAAAGTCTCACCTAACAGAAATGCCAAAGCCTCCCAGGCACTGAACTCTGTGTCTGTAAGTTCTCTGACCTGCTCTGAAAACCTTCCCTTGTGGAACAGGTCCTGTTCTCTGTGTCAGTTGCCTTATACTGACACTTTGTTTCAATCCCAAGTTCAACTGGCACTCAAGGCCACTCTCTCTCTGACTTCTGACAGCCCATAACGAAGTCAAGTCAAGCTGCGGTGGCGAAGCCCTTACAGAGTCCTTACTGAGTTTCCGGTTCGCTCACTGTGGGGTCTCTTGGCAGAGGTGAGGTTTCACAGCTTACGTGTTTTATTCCAGTGTGAACAAAACCATGCAGCTGAAAACCTCAGAGATGGAGGGAAAAACTAGGGAACTGCTTTCCACGTAATGCCCTTGGCATTAGCTCTAGATTGTGGGTAGAATCAAGGTGAGAGATCAGGGGTGGTCATATTTTTCACTTACGATGGAAGCCCCAACTCGTTACATTAGAAACTTTCAACTGTCTTATAGAAATGACATGATGAACACACCACCCTCAAAGCTGCTTTCAGAATGCAGAATTTCCCAGTGGTAACACGCAAAAGGCTGTCCAGGTTCTCCCCCCGTCTCTATGAAGCCCAAAACTCATCTGTGGGTAAGGGAAGACAAAAAGCCGTTCTGAGATGAAATCCGAAGTTATTGGCTTCATTAACATCAAGCTGCTTATTTGGATTATTCTATATTCATCTCTATAAAAACACCCTTGGATCTATTACCTCTCTTCATTCCACCCTGAGGAGAGCAGTAATGTTATAACCTAAAGTACTGGTTTTCCACAGCAGAGTGCCAACCTTAACTTACATTCAAAAAGGGGCTGGTGTGGCTCAGTGGATTGAGTACTGGCCTGCGAACCAAAGGGTTGCTGGTTCGATTCCCAGTCACGGCACATGCCTGACTTGTGGATCAGAGTCCCCAATAGGGGGCACATGAGAGGCAACCACACATGGATGTTTCTCTCCCTCTCCTCCCCTCTAAAAAAATAAAATCTTAAAAAAAAAGGGGGATACAGCTGACTTGTCAGGAAGTTTGCATGAGATGTTGAGTATCAAAGTAATAAAATGCAGACCAACCCACAGGCTGCTAGACACGCATGCCCCCTATTCCTCACCTCCTGGGGCCGGTGAAGGGGCTCATCCTGAGGATCCCTGGAGAAGGATAATGAGACTTGTACTCGGCTGTGAACTTACTAACCCACACAAGCCTTTATCACCATTTTGCAACCTTCCTCATGGAGACATCAGGCACTGAAGGAGGACTCAGTACCGAACCCCAGTCACAGGGCTGTTCTTTGGAACAGGTGCCAAAGGCCACCAAATTCTGACCTGTTTGGAATCAGTAAAAGGAAGAGAGCAAAGGGATGAAACTCAAAGATAACTGGTCTGGCTGCGCCCCCGCCGCCACAAGGGTGCCTGGAACAAAGGCTCTGTGTCTGCTGCCCAGCACAGCGCCTGGCACAAAACAGTTTATCAGTAAATATGTGTGAAATCAGAGAACAGCAGTTGCTTTCATAGATACGTTTCCGAAACAGCCTCCAAGTTGACGCTGTGAGAGGCACTATCAACGCCACTTTATAGATGGGGAAACTGACGCTCTGAGGAGTTGACAGATCAAGTCTGGGGCAAGGGACCACTGACCTAAGCACATGACGGCCGCTGGACACTTAAACCCCAGCCACACCCACCCACACAGTAACCCCCGCTGCTTACACAACGCCGCCACCTCGCGCCTCAGTCACACCTGTCTGGGGACCGGGCATAGCAGCAACCGCCTGGCCTCCCCCAAACCCCAACTCGATACAACTACCCGCCACCGGGTCCCCAGCCCCCGAGCAATGAAAGGGCGCGGCCTCTGTGTACCCGGCCCCGCCGCCGGCCCCAGCCCCTTACCTTTTTGTCCCAGATCTGCAGGGGCTTGCTGCCGATGCTATAGAGGATGGAGAGGAAGCCGCTCTGGAACGTGTTTTTGAACATTTCGCAGGCGGCCTTCTCCTCGGCCGCGCCGGAGCGACCTAGATATGGATATCAAGTGGCGAAGGTAAAACGGGGGGCCCACACTGGTCGGAACAAGGAATGCTGTGCAGTTGACCTCGGGATCGGCAGCCACCAACACCTGGATCTGGACTCAGGACGCTACGTCCGTGAGTTCCCGCTTCCCGATTAACCGAGCCACCCCAGGATGGAAACCACAGCAACTGCCGAGCGCGCCACTCTCCCCGCCTTAAATGGAGGCAGCGAGCCTCCCGGCGCCCAAGATGGATTCCTCCGCCCACTTAAGCCCGCCCCGTGAGAGCGCGAAGCCCAATCCTGTCACGGCGATTACGGACTTCCTGTCTCCTCCGTTCTTAAACCCTGCCTTAGTTCCGCCTCCTCGTGAAAAAGGACTCCGTTGCCAAGGAACTATTTTTCTCCATCGTCGTTTCAGAGCTGCTTTTGGAAGCGGAAGGAGATAGAGGATTTAGAATGTGTTGTATACACCTGCGTATTGTCAGCGCCTGCGTGTTGTCATGGGAACCTGGCGGGGGCGGAGGTCTGGGGGCCTGAGGACCAGGCCACGCCCCCTGAGGGAAGAGGAGGAGTTACAAGCGCCAAGAGTGGAGGTAGGTTGCTAAGCAAGTGCCTACCTGGAATCCTGCGGATGGCAAATGTGCTTGCTCGTTGGCTGAGTACAAGGTAAGGTTAAAGCAGCTAACCTGTACTGAGCGCCAGCTGTGCTAAGCGCCTTATATACATCTTTGCTTTAAGTATTAACAGGGTCGTTCTGAATACACCACTGCATCAACTTGTGGGATGCAGTCAAAGGAACACTCTGAGGAAAATGTATTGCCTTAAATACATTATTAGCGAACAAAAAAGCTTGAACACTCAGCTAAAAGCAGAAATTGATAAACTAAACAAAAATGGTATTTCATGTGCGGAAGAAATCCGAACCGCTGGAGACCATTCACTGAGCACCTACCTATACATGGTGCTCCATGCCCTGGCCTGTGCTGGGTGTTGTGGCTGACGGAACAGCAGTTTGCAGCTAACTTCGCTCTGATAACAGCTAATAATAGCTAACATCTGTTGAACACTTATGTGTCAGGCACTATGCTAAGAGTATTAGCCTTTATTAAGTCATTTAATCCTCATAGCAACCCCGTGAACAACTGAACCAGAATTTCCAGACATGGGGGTAGGGGAGGAAATATGGGTTGCATTATAACAGAAAGTCAAAACATTTTATATAAACTTATTTTTTAATGATTTCTGGGGAGTCTTTAGGGCAGTGAACAATTTATCCCTTGATGTTATTAAATTTTTCTTAAAAGATTTTATTTATTTATTTTTAGACAGAGGGGAAGGGAGGGAGAAAGGGAGGGAGAGAAACATCAGTGTGTGGTTGCCTCTCATGCACCCCCTACTGGGGACCTGGCCTGCAACCCAGGCATGTGCCGTGACTGGGAATTGAACCAGTGACGCCTTGGTTCGCAGGCCTTAGCTCAATCCACTGAGCCACACCAGACTAGGCTGATGTTATTACATTTTTCAAAATAGCCTACAGGGAAACACATTTATTATACATTAGATTGTCATGTGCACTAAGTCTATCACAGGATTTTTTATTCTGTTCCCTTGAACACTGATAACACCAAATGCTGGCAAGGTTGTGGCACAACGGGAACTTTCATTCACTGCTGGTGGGAATGCAAAGTGATACAGCTACTTTAAAAGACAGTTTGGAGATTTTTAAGAAACTAAACATACGTTTACCATAAGATCCAACAATCCCACTCCTTGATATTTACCTGAAGGAGTTGACATTTACAGCATCTTTATTTATAATTGCCCGAATCTGGAAGCAACCAAGATGTCCTTCAAGAGGTGAATAGATAAACTGGTACGTGCAGACAATGGAATATTATTTAGTGCTCAAAAGAAATGAACTATGAAGCCGTGAAAAGACACAGAGGAAACTGAAATGCATACTATTGAGTGAAAGAAGCCAATCTGAAAAGGTTATACACCGTCTCGTTCCAACCATATGACACTCGGGAAAAGGCAAAGCTATGGAGACGATGAAAAGATAGTGCTTGCCAGGGGTGTGGTGGGGGTGGGCGGAGAGGAATGGGAAGAGCACAGAGGACTTTTGGGGCAATGAAAATAATTTTGTAGTACCCCCCACACACCAACTACTTGTCCCTCATACTCTGCTTTATTCTTTTTTGTGACACTTAACACTACTTGATAGTCTATATAGTAACTTATTGTCTATCTCCCTGCATTTGATTTTGAGTTCCAGAGAGAATTTAGTCTGTCTTGCTTGTAGGTATATTTCCAGTGCCCAAAACACATGCCTGAAAAAAAAAATGGGAATGTAGTCAGTATGTGCTGAATCTGTGGATTGGAGTCACGGCCCTGGGGTTCTTGGTCACTGCAGGCCCAGCACGGGTTCCATCTCTCATGGCCTCAGCACTCCCATGCGGACAATAAAGATCTTCTGCTTGGAAGGGCCCGCCTACCCCATTTGCCTGCTCACATCTCTCATTAACCGTGGAAATGGTTAGATGTTCAAATGCAGACACCGTGAGCATGTGTGGACTTAAGTGCCCTGGACAGCCTATCCATGAGCAAGCTGAGGGAGGCAACGGGAGTGCTCGCTTCTCCTAACTACTCATCCGCAGTGAGTGTCCACACAAACCATGGGGTTCGAGATGCATTGCGATCAGAGCCTTGGCTACAGGAAAGATGATCTGATCGAAGGTTTGGAGAATACGAATTAGTGTTTAGCAAATATGTTTTGCTTCTATTGTAGACTTGATTTTGGCATGCCTCTCCCAGATGCCGTGTCTCCTATGCATGTACAGCACCCAGCACAGTACTAGCTTCGTAACAGGCACTGACTGAATGAATGAATGAATGAATGGACTAGAGCCAAATGGTCCCCTCTGACATTGACCTTCATTTCAAAGGTAACATAGAATGAATTAACCTAAAACTACAGATGTCACTCACAGAAACACATTGAACACTGTACTTCAAGGTTCTTTTCATCAACATAAAGGTGTTTATGTTGGTAAGAAGAACCTTGCTAATAAGTTACTTCCTTCAATGATTATACAATTAGAAAGGGGTAGATGAGTCCATTTTAAAAAGTAATACATTAAAAAAAGAGCAGAATCTATTAAGGCAATAAAACTACAGTTTGGGCAATAGGTTCAGCCGTTCAGCTGTTACAAATTAGGCCATTAAAAGTTGCAGAAAAGGGCCATGGCCCATGTGGCTCAGTTGGTTGGGCATTATCCTGTGAGGCAAAGGGTCGCTGGTTCGGTTCCTGGTTGAGGCACATGCCTGGGTTGCTGGTTCAGTCCCACATCAGGGCACATACGAGAGGCAACCAATCAGTGCTTCTCTCCATTTCTCCCTCCCTTCCACTCTCTAAAAATAGATAACTAAAAATTGTAGAAAAAATAAAGTAATTGCTTGAAGTGCATAAGGGTGGTCTTGAGAATCCCATGACTCAAAGAAGGGGCTTCGTTTGGTGACCAGAAGTGTGGGTAGAACCATCCCTGGGCAACCAGTCTGGCGCCCACAATCTCTGACCAGGAGCAAATCCCAGCCCTGCGTTTAGACTGAGCGTCGCCTTGGTCGGGTGTCAAAACACACACAGAGATTATAGCAAGTACATGAAAACCCCATCAGTAATCCACGCTAAATGAGAAATAAGTTTCTGATTATTGTGACATTTTGTTTGTTACTTAGGATACTTGACATATTTAAGATAACTTAATGTATTAGAGAATCTGATACTTTCAAATGCTGCAAGGAATTTGAAATTAGTTCTGTGGTTTTTAATTCAAAGATGTCTGAGAAAATTTAATTAAGTTTGTAAACAATAAATGTTTAAACTCTTTTATTTATTACATCTCTGTGTTTAAGACTTAGATATATTAGTGTTTGAATGATTGGGAAGCTTTCATCAGATTTTTGGTCTTTCATGTTAGCTATTGAAAGTGTGTGTGCAAACCAAACAGATGAAGTATGTGGGTGACTCTGAAACGTCTAAGAAACCTAGACTGTGGGTGAGCAATGTTTATGGTTTAACCTGTTAAGTTTTTAATTAATTCAGCATTGATTGAAGATTAAGTGTCCATATTTATATACAAAACCAACTAGTTTGTAGTTATAACAAGATTTGTAAGTTGATTTTAACGACACAAGACAAATGAGATTTTAAATGTAGAGCTTTAATAACCGAGATATTATTTAAAACACCAAGAACCGTAAGAACCCTTCCCGGCGCAGAGCCTTGGTCAGAGGCTGACACCCCATGGGCAGCGTCTGTTCGTGTCTGTCCGCCCGGAACCTCAAGCATGCCAGGCCTTGGGGAGACCCAGGCGCACCGTGAGGCCGAGTTTACCCTCCCCCACGCCTTGCTGGTGGGGACGGGGAGGAACGGCAGTGCCCGGGCGGTCAGTCGGCAGGAGGAGGACCGCCAAGTCCAGGGGTTCTATCCAAAGACCGTCCGCCCGGACAACATCAAGTAGAACAGCCAGTGGTGGGCAGATGAAGCTCCTTTCACTCTGAGAGTGGAGTTCAAATGGGGCTCTGTTGGGCTCTGGCGCATTATTGTTATCTTTAAAACTGATTTTTAAACACACACAGTAAAATGCACTTTTTGGTGTACAGTCTTGACAAAGGCACCAAACCATAACCGTGGCCACATTCAGGACACAGAGCAGCTCCGTCGCCCCGCCCCCAAATTCTCCCGTGCCGCCCCTCCGCAGTCAGACCCCGCCCCCAACCCCCCCTGCACCCCAGTAATCACGGATCTCTCCTCCCTGCTGCACACGCTTTTGCCTTCCAGAGGTCAACACAGATGGAATCGGTCAGTGGGTAGCATTTTGAGCCTGGCTCCTTGGCACAAGGCGTTTAAGATGGGCATTAGTTTAACAGTTGGGGGGACAGTCCACGACGCCCCCGCCCCCACGCCTCAGACACGCCGGGCTCACGCGTTCCGCCTCTCAGCGCCCTCTGGCCGGCCCTCCGCAGGCTGGGTTCTGAGGACTTCCCCACAGCGCTTCAGGCATCATAAAAAGAAGCCTTTTTTTATACTTAAGATAACTTTTTTTCCTGTAATTTTGAAAAGATCTTTAGAATTTGCTTTTAAAATTGATTTTGTGCTTGTCTGTGACTTCACTCATCATCACGAGAAAACTATTTCAGAAAACAAATACTGAACCTAACCAATAACTTAATGGAGTTTGCAGGATTGGAAGAGACACTTAATGACATTTATTTTTGTTTTGCAACTCTCTTATGTGAGAGCCTACACCTTTTTTCCCAGATCTCAAACATCTCTGCAGGCCCCGGGGACGTCCCGGGCCCCAAGTGCCTGGCAGAGCCCCACAAAATCCCCATGACTAAAGGCATCACGGTTCCAGCCTACACCAGCGAGAGAAAGGAAGAGAAGACTGTTTTCTCTGAGTCGTAACAATTTCCTCTCTAAAAAAGATCCTATGGCACAGATAAAACTTTCTGAGTTTTTCTCACAAATATACAGTGTAAAACGATGTACGTGCACATTCGTTTCTCGCAGCAATACTGGTGACGGGACTGATGGGAGCCTGCCAACAAGGGACCGCTTCCCCCGTGGGCCGTCGCGTCACGGAACACTGCGCAGGCGTGAAAACGAGTGAGGTAGAGCCGTCCGTGCTAACACAGTAAGATTTCCACCATTGAGTGAAAACAGAAGTTGCAGAAAGAGAATGTAGAGTCTGATTACATTTCTGCAAAAAGAGAAGTCATTGCAGTTTAGAAATGCCAGTAAATGTGCAGTAAACAAATCAGAAAGTATATACCAAACTTAACCGTGGTTACTTCCACAGGAGGAAAGAGTTTCTGTATGTGTGGGTATGTACTTGGGGGGAAGGCTTTCATTAGTTACTTTGGTGTAATGTGACGTTTTACCATGAACCTAATTCCTTCGGTAATCAAGAAAATTCAGTATTACTTTAAACAACTCAAACACAAGCAGGATTACTAGAAGATGTGACTTGATGTTCTGAATTTCCAAGCACATTGTGGATAAGCATTAGACTGGTCTTGGGTTCAAAGGTTTCTTGTCCCTTTCTCTCAAGGCGAAAGCCACATTAAGAAACAAAAAAGCAAACAAAAACCTCCTCTCTCCAGTTCTTTCTACAACCACTCTCCCATCGAGCAATAATCATCCACAAAAAAAACAAGAATATTTTGGCCGAGAGGTTTCTGGGAAACAAGACTTTCACACTGAGAAAATGGCCTTGACCGAGAAGGGAAACTGGAAGACGAAGCTGGAGTTCAAGTTCCGCACGGCTTCTCAAGAACTCGCAGGCACACCACCGCGTAACCGCGCCGAAGAAACCCTTCCTGTCCGAAGGCCCACGAACACCGGCGGGTCAACGTGGCGATGAAATGCTCTGTTGATATATACATGCACGCACGAAGCACCGCGTCACAGGAGTTTCAGGGACATGCTCGTATGAGGTATCAGGATGCTGTCGCAGAGATCTGGGAGACTGACAGAAATCTGCAGAACCGTGAGCCAGAAAGGGCCTCGTGAGAGAGGCCACTGGAGGGCTCCCGGCCGGGGATGGAGCTGGAGAGCAGCACGTCCCCCCATCCGGCGCCCTGCTGGCCTTCCGCAGTCTGCTGGCGGTGGGCCTGCGGGCCCTCCCTGGCTGCTGTCCAGGGGTTTGGGCTGCCACACCTAAGGAACTGCCTGGACGTGACAGAAGCTGATCCAAGGGACACTGTGACGCCATGGTGGCCGAGGGGCCTCTTTGCTTTCCCCCACAACTGCTTCAAAAGTGAATGTCCACACCTGGACGGCCAGTCACCTGTTCTGGACAAGCAGCAGAGAAGATAGGAGGAAGTTGTGCAGATCACATGGCTTTGGTGGAGACCCAGTGGGGGCCCGTCCAGCTGTCTGGGCGTGGGGTCTGCCTGTGGCTCCTGCTCTCTAAGGCAGCGGGAGGATGCGGCCACCACTCCACACAAGGCCGGGCAGCCACCAGGTTGTCACTGCTCTTCCTTCCCTGTGGCACAGCTGTCCGAGGAGCGGAGGACTGAGGGAGCCAGGGAAGGCTCATTGGTAGAACAGGTTGAAGCTGTTCACTTAACAAATACAGCCAGCGCTTCCATTCCACCCTTTCTACACGATCAGAAGCTGCCCTCCGGTCTGGACCCGAGGCCCCAGAGCCCTGCCCGGCAGCAGGACGGCAGACTCAACCATCCTCCCCGTGAAGACGCTGTTTCTAGAAGGGGGCTTGGGGAGAGGGGCAGGATTGGGAGTTGGAACGAACATGGAGGCCGGAGCAAAGGGGAAGGAAAGGGGCCAAGGCACCTTCCCGAGTCACTGCAAGTGACCTTCACCTACCACCTCGGCCACTAGGCACTCGCCAGCTTTGGGAGGACGGATCAAGGGCAGACGAACATGTGTTCAAGGCAAAGCCTGGCTTTCCTGCTCACAGCCTCCTCCAATCAACAGCCCCTCGCCCGGGATGAGCTCACCGTCCCCCTTCAACTCCTTGCCTCGTGAAGAGCACCCTTGAGACCTGCCCACCTCACCTCCTCAACTTCCCGTCCCTGGCTAGACCCTGCCACGGAAGCTCGTCTGGTTCACTTGGCTGCCTGTGGCCATGGGTCTCGGTTAATGGCCCCTTCCATACTGAAAAGTCTCCATACATTTCTTTTAAAACCTTTTATTCAATAATATATACTTTTAAAATTATAATATGTCACTGCCCATCATGCCATATACGCCCCCGTCCCCCCTGTGGAGCCTGTGGTCTGCGGGGAAGCAGGTGGCCGCAGGACGCCAAGGGGCGCGGGGGAGCAACAGTAGCCAACAGCCATTCTGCATACCCTTCACATTTCCCATGCTGTCTGGGTCAGGAGGAAGTCAACAGGAAGCCAAAGGCGTGTGCGCCTTTTACGCTCGGAAGTGAGGTTTGATACACGGTGGTGGGCTGCCCCGCAGCCGGTCTAGTTCGTGCTTGCCAAGCCTGCCACCGTGTTGTGTCTGCTCACGGAACGTGCTCTCCCTACACACGTTCAGACGTTTGATTGGTTCTTGTTCTGCTTATGGAAAAGTGAGAGGAACCGCCACAGACCTGGGGAAAGAGACGGGAGGAGGGGAAAGATGGCGTTAATCAACGGGACCGGGTGCGAGGACAGGCCTCCTGCTCCTGAACAGGCTGGGAACACTGTGCAAGCGTGACTTCCCCACGCCGTTGGTGGAGCATGTAGTCAGAACCACGGCATTCTGGGCTTCGACTCATACCCTTTTCACACTTCCTCTTCTGATCACCACTAACAGTCTCCGCGGGCCTTCTGCGAGAGCCGGGGGAACGTTCTGGGCACCACGTGGGCAACCAAGCCTCTTCCCCGCCTCTCGGGTCCAGGACGCCGGCCGTTCTGTGCACACCAGGCTCCACGTTCCGCGGTGCACTGTCAGACCTGGTCCCGTGGACCAAGGACAGCGTGGGGCTAACTAGACGACTGTCTTGTACACAGGAAAAGGGCCAGATCCACTTTTGAAAAGCAAAAAGGGAACCAGTTCATTCGCAGGAATGGGCAAAAGTGGGTTGCCCACGTGGAAAAAGACAAGCAGGTTGCGGTTCTTACAGCAGCTGTTACTCAAGGGACTGTCTCGGGGCGCAGGGCACTCACAGCGGGAAGCCTACTTTTGCCCACCCGTGTTTTTTCTCTCTCCTGGGAGCGGCTGTCTGGCACAGCCTGAAAACTGTTCCTCCTTCCCTGCCCGACAGAGTGGAGCGGGTGCCGAGACGCCGACAGCAGAGTTCTGGCAGCGGAGTCTCAGGACGGTAGCAATGAACCAAGGGGAAGGGCGGGCCATGCACCCGGGAGGCCGCCACACACAACGTTACTCCGTGAGCGCTCGCTTAGGGCAAGGGAGGGGCCAGAGGCCGCGTGGTGTGCAAGGCAGAAATGCCTGTTTGCCTTTGAACACGTTGGAAACTGACCTCCAAGCATCCAACTCCAGAGAGGGGTCAGTTGGGGAGGAGGAGGAGGAACATTAATCTGACACCACCATCTGCCCAACAGCACGTGCCCACTCCTGCTGCAGAGAACAGGGTGGGGACAGACTTCCCTAAACGCAGAACACCGCCACGAACGTTCAAGTAGTTCAAGTCGTGGTGCGGAACAGGTCCGTCCCGAGCAGGCGTCTGGAGGAAAGCAAGGACCGAGAAACGCCCGCCAGCTCTCCTGCTGTCTTCCGGCCAAGGCGATGCACTGGGTCCACCACACACACCTTTGCAGTTCGAGGTTTATCCCTTCTCTCCCCCAAGGGACAGGCAACACGAGTGTAAGGTCCTCCTGGCCGTAGCGTGTCACCCTTTCGGGACGGCTGGTGATGAGGCACCTTTTTATTTGTGCAAACAGGAGTTAACATGGCATCTCTCTTCCCCCTAAGGGCAGCAGCAGGGGAGTCGCAGCTCAGCCATCCAGGGGCACAGAGGCGGCCACTTGACCCTGGAGTAGTCATTTGTAAAGGGTCACCAACCGGCCAATGCTGCTTTTCTGAAAACAGAAGAAAACTCGGTTCCACGGTTCTTGAGAATTTGGGTTTCTGTCCCAACTCTTAGTGACCATTTACAGCAAGAAAAGCCAGCAAGTGAAAAACGGTTAATTTATTGATTCAATGCAAGTTAAAAAAAAACAATCCTCAATACATGTAGTTCAGGATTAAGTATCACATTTGTAGCACATTGTTGAGTCTCTCCACAAAAGTGCGCCCCACCCGCATAACCCCACCCACGCTCCCCCTGCCTCCGCAATACTTGCACGGGGTCATTCTCATCAACACACCCACTGGCCCAGCAGCACATCACTGGTTTTCTTAGCGGTTTCCCCGCCACCTCCCCTCCCCCATGCCTACCCTGGGGTTAAGTTTTTAAAGGCAGGGCATTCGGTCTTAGATTTAAAAGCTCACGGACAAACTTTGGCTTCTTGTGTGCTCAGGTGGACCCTGGTTTTGCTTTTGAAAGGGTTTATATTTCAATGACCTTGACTTTGATCCATTATTACCCACTCCATTTGTGAGAGGGAAGTCTGCTTTTTCCTGTGGGTGTTCACACAGTAACACAGGTTTCTGAACAAATCATTTAATTTGAACTGGCATAAAAGGGAACTACTGATGGAACTGTTAGATCTACTTCGATGCATATATAAAAATTCCTCCAATTGTTGCTTGTGTCCCAGAGTAACTTTTCTTCCATCCTCAACAGCGCAGCACCGGGAGAACCTAAGTCATTTCCCTGAGTCCTGAGCAGGCCCAGACCGAGCCCCACGGCCAGCTGCCAGCTCTGTCCGGGGCTCGGCGTCTGCCTCGAGAGCACCCACGGGAACCAATCCAGGGGGCCGTGCCCACCTCAGGGCGCACTCCAGAACACGACCACTGTGCCCCCTAGGGTTTTCTCTCCACGGGACGTCGTGTTCCCTCATCAAGATCTCCTGTTCGACTGTCTTTTTGGTTCCCTTTTTCAAGAGCCCTCTACCTGGGCCTCTCCCCCAGGCCCCCAGGACTACAAGTTCTGATGTCTCCTCTGACTAATCAGTCTGAGGACCTTCCTTCTCTGTGAGGGAATACACTTGCTTTGAGCCTGGTGAGGACCCATTTGCTACCAAGGTCTGTTAGGAGACCTGGAGGGACCGATGTGCCTGGCGCCCCGCACAACCAGCACCCCGCTGGCTGGTAAGAAAGCCCATGGGCGCTTGGTCTGTTCTACGTTTGATGGCGTCCCCTGCCCAGCCAGCACCCCCGCCCCTCCGTGGAGACGAGACAGGAGCAGGCCAGCTGATTCGATCCAGGGGAGAGTCAACCGCAGGTAAACCACGGGTGAAAGTGACAGCAGCTCCGCTCTCACCGCAGGACCCCTCCGCCGGAGCCAGTCCCTGCAGTTACCCTGCTCGCTGTGGTCGACAGACTGCGCCCCACCACCTGTGCCTTGCCCAGGGCCCTGCTGTCCCCACCACCCCAGGTCTGCGTCCCGAAACGCAGGCAGTCCCTGAGATGACAGCACAATGCTACCCTGTTCCCATCCTTTTGCTTTTCTTTAGGAAAGAGGAAGTCCCTATCATAGGCACTTCTGACCTGTTGTAAGGTAATGAAGCAAACGAGCATCTAATGAGAATTACTGAGATGAATTTAATATGCTAACTGAAAAAGGTATTGGATGGGTCAACCTGCCATAGCTTAGTCTAAATATTAGACATACACAATCTCTCTCTCTCTCTCTCTCTCACACACACACACACACACACACCCAACCATCACCTCTCATTCCTGGAACTCTCCCAGACCATCTCCTAACCCAGGCAAAGGCTCTAAAATCTTAAGGGAGCTAGGTCCGTCTGGACATAAAATAGTGTTGGAGACAGGTAAAGGAGAAAAGGTTTGGACTGGCCTCACTTCAGTTTGGGGAAAAAGCCACCTACAGTTACAGCCAGCCAGCAAGCCGGGCATCAACACCTTCTTGGAAAGGAGTGTTTTCAGCTCAGTGTTGCTGTACGTCTAAGGCATGGAGGGAGGGGAGTGCGCAGGGGTGGGGGAGTAAACTGTGCGGAAAAGGAGGCGTGACCCCCATGTCGGGGCTGTAGTTCCAGAACCCTCGGTCAGGCAGGGAGCTGCCGACACCCGCTGAATCAGACCACAGCGGGGAGAGGCGCAAGGACACCACCCGGCTCTTCTCCAGATGCTTCTATTGCCCCTGAGGACCCAGGGGGAAGAACGGGGTCACTACTTCACCAAGTCCGGTCCTGACAGGCAAATTAAAGGTGTGGGAGGAGGGCACGGGGCCAAAGGAGATGAGAGTGGGGGCAGGACAGACACACAGCGGCCCATTCTCCTTGCTATTGACCAACAGTCGGTGTCGCCTCGAAGGGCACGTTAGAAGGCTCTGACAATCCAAAACACTGAGTCTACTGCCCGACACGGCTTCAGCCAAGAGCTCGTGACTTGTCTTTCTCAGGTAGAACAAATGTATACATTCACATACAGTGTGCAATGCAGGCAGGCAGTATCAGTGTGAGAACCGTAACAGACTGCATTTCCTGGCTTTGGGATCTTACTTTTACTTTTTAATCTGTAGGGTCAACTCTGTAATAAGAGTTTCATTTGTATTTTAAGTTCCCACCAACCAAATGACAAAAATAGAATCTGCATTTAGAGATAGGACCTGCTACCAATACCAATATGATTTTATTGGAATATGGAATGTAAACAGATGTTTTCAAATAAACAATCTAACCTTATAAAAACGTATGGCATTATTAAATAGTTAATAAAGAAACCCTAAATGTGACGTGGTGGCAGACGCCTCCAGCTCTAGCCTAGGAGTGGAAGTTCCCGCAGCTGCGGTGTGGCTCCGCAGCCGGGGCGAGGGGGCTGCTCGCAAACCATGTTGGTGACAAGTGCCCCAAATGAAATTAGCCCTATTTTTTACTCTTTAAAACAAACTCTAGCTTCCTTTGCTACCGTGAAGGCTAGCGCAATGGATCGCACACGATGCCTGCTCCAGCAGCTCCACCTCCCCCGAACCCACCGCATGGTGCTCGCCTCCGCTGCCCGGGCTATGGCGTGGCTGTGCCCGCACGCCAGCCCGGCACGCAACACGGACTTATCACACTCATGTGTTACCCATCAGAGCTTGAAAATGCAGATTACCCTGATTACAGTGGGAAGTTATTTCTCGTGGGGACAAAAAAAAAAAAAAAAAAGGCAAAAAGAGAGTGGAGATGGGGAAGTATGTTTTTTTTCAGTGACGAGGTCATTCCTGAATAAATTCTCATAGAACCCTTTCTCCCTTTCCCTCCCCGACCTGCCTAAAGACTGACCTTCCAGCTTTAGTATGGACATGAACAAAAAAAGTCTTTGCTTCAGAGAGATGCATTAAAATAGGTGCAACAAAGGGATGTGCTGGGGACATGGTGAAGTTTCCTTACACGGCTGCAAAAAGCTACACAAAAAAATAGCCACAAGGTTTGTTTTATGGTTAGGCAAAATAACAAAGGTTACGGTGAGCTCCAAGTTATGCACGTAGCATCACTTTTGATGAGACGGATGGACCTGTTCACGGCATCAGAAGATGTAAAGTGACGTCTGCTGACATCAAAAGGGACTCGGGAGTGACTGCAGTTCGCTCCCAAATGAATGCACTTAGAAGGAAACTGCAGGCATGAGGTACATTTCCTAGAGAGCTCATGTCATAAAAAAATACATAAAACATGAATTTGTAGAAGAGTTTAAAAAAAATACTGTCACTGTTTAATATCTCCTTTTCGTAGATGAGGCTGGTGTGTCGGTACAGACTGACTGCTGACGTGTGGCTAACACGGGGCCTGAATCCCACCCGGGAAACCCAGCCCCCAGGGCGAGAGACAGGAAGTCAGAGGGTCAGAGCGTGGTGACCGAGCAGGCTACCTCAACAGTGGTCTCCCGTTAAATAAAGGTGACTGTACAGCAACTCCGAGTCTCCCGCTCCCGCGCCTTCCCCGGGGGGAGGCCCCTCAGATCCTGAACTATGTGCATCGTCTCGCTCGCTGCCAGAGCGGCAGCTCCCTGCAGACTGTTACTGGGGAGTTTCTTTCTTTTTTGACAGACTTTTAGGCCTTTACTCTTCTTTGCGTTTAGAAGGAATGACTAGAATTTCTTTTTATCACACTGCAGTTTTCCTTCAAGATTTGGGTTTGGTTGGTTGGTTTTATTGGCAAGCATCAATGCCGCATTACCCGTCGCTTTCCAGTCTTCACCGGGCCGCCGTGAGACCACTGGAAAGTACAGCATTATCTGCGCAGGGCTGGGACTGCTCCTTCACCACGGGGTCTGCAAGACAACGGGGCGGGGTCAGCGGGGCGGGGTCAGCGGAGCGGCCGGTCGGCGTGGGCGAGAGCATCACGCCGAACCCAATCCCTCCCGGTGAGACAGAGAGACACGCTGCGGGAGAGCCAGGGCCAGGAAGGCGAGCGAAGTCACGGACACTGGAAACCGGTCATGGAACCGCTCCTGCACCTCCTCCGAGGGCAAGTTCAACGACTGAGGCTCACGGAAAAGAGCGGCACAGGCACACTCACTTCCCACTGCCCCAGATTTCTCCTGGCTTTCTTACGCGTGATTTCCCTCGGAGACTGACATCATAGCCCACCCCCACTTTCTTCAAAGTGTGTGAATGAGCACCTCAGAGAAAGGGCTGAGCAAGAAGAGCCATTAGAAGGCCTGGCCATTTTGAGCAACGGTAGCTAAGAAAGCTTTTAAATAGAAACATGATCTGTGCTCCGAAAAGCAGAAAGATCACGAATTGTATACTGCAGACACCAGTGGTCTTCACTCAGTCTGACGCAAAGGGCGGGAGGGCTGCCGTGCCAGCAGTCAGAAGGAGGACGCCCAGGCGGCACGGGTCTGCCGTCTGGGACACCGGAGGCGAGACGTCCGCCTGGGCTGCACACTAACGCTTCGGGCCAGCAGGTCCAAGACTAGGGCGCGAAGCCACCTTCAGGCAACGTTCGGTTGGTCTCCAGGGGTGGGGGACGGGGAGAAGGCAAGTGAGCATGTTGGTCAAGCAACAGACAGGCTGGAAGTTCTCCCTTCGATCCCGACGGCGCGCTGAGGCGAGTGCCGTAACTCCCTTGTTCTCAGTCTCCCGACTGGGCCACGCCATCACCCTGATCTGACGACGGGAGTGGGAGACATGCTTCATTGGGGGGGGGGGGGGGGGCACTGAGTGCACTCGCAACAAGAAGCAACCACGTGCCGGGATTTCCGCACGCCCTCTGAAGGGAGGCCACGAGGCCGGTACTTCAGACAGAATTCTGGTGCGGTCTTTTCATGCTGGCTTTCCTTTCCTTAACTCCTTGTTCGTTCGTTGAACTTGTTCCCTTCGTTAAAATTATACTATTGGTTACGTTATTTTCAACTAATTACCTGCCTTCCACAGAGGGCGAGAAACTTTTCATTAGGTTTCCACATAAGTGTATAAATTTGGAAACAGATTTCAGATACTTGTGATCTATCACCCGGGGCCCCCAGGAAGGGTCGAGAAGACCACACGCGGGGAGCCAGAGCGGCGAACCAGCAACACCCCTGGGGCTCAGGAGGCAGGCCCTCCAGCCGTCTCAACGGTCTGGAGCTAACGAGGCCGGACTCCACCGGCATTCCGTCCACAGAAATGCCCGGGATTCTCCCGCCTGACCCCCAAGATGAAGGGTGGGAGACTCCCCTTCCGCCCCCGCGGCGCCGAGAGGTGGCCAGACACTCACAAAAGTACGGGTGCTCCATGGCCTCTTTGGCGGTCAGCCGCTGTTGATGGTCGTATCGCAGCAGTTTGTCCAGAAGGTCTAGGGCCTCAGGGCTGACGAGGTGTCTGTTCTCACTGTGGATGAAGTTTTCCCAGCGTTTCCGTGAATGTCTGAGAAGGAAAGGAAAGCATTAGCGTCCTGAGATTAAATTCAACAGGAATCCTCACCCAGTGGGACTAAAACCAACAACGTATTAGAACACCGCACTGAGATTACAAGCCCATTAAATCTCACTCTTGCTGCGACCCACCCCGCCCCCCAGCCACGATCAGTGTCCCCAAACAGAACAGCATTCGGTGACCAGCAAGTAGAATCAATTAAAACCCGTCCATCTGAGTTGGGTGTGAAAGTTTCAGACGGTCTCCAGTCAGTTCTAGGTGAGGCGCGGAGGTGACCGAGTGACTGTCGTCACTCAGCAGCTGCTGGCTGTGAGGCGTGGGGCTTCACGAAATGCTGTCAAGTGCTGTCTGAAAACTTTCAACACCACACTTGCTTTTCAACACTCTCTCTGAAAATACACTTCAAAATTTGCTGTCTTACAGAAAATCCATTACACCGAACAGGAAGAAATTGTCTCTAATTATTCAAAGAATACGTTTCCTAAGATTTCCCATTAAAATAAGCATCTGCTATCACAGAAAGCTTTTTTCTGCAACATTATAATTTTGTCTTACATTTTATCTCTTAGAAGTAAAATTAGTAGAAGGCACAGGTAAACAATGCCCAAATATCTCAAAATTAGTTAAGAAACATACATGGGAAAAAGAAGGCCATTTCTATTTTGATGCAATTAGAAAGAAGAAGAGCTTTAAAAGCGGTTTTGGCTAACCTCCCCACTTCCGCAGTGGGGCAAGCACCCCGCCCCCCAACACTCACTGTCCCAGGATGTCGTTGAAGTGCGGGTCGAGGTCTATGTGGTACTTCTTCAGATACCCGTACAGCTCGTCCGTGCCCAGGACCTTGGCGATGCGAACAAGCTGCAACACAGAGTACACTGACCAAATGGCTGAGCACAGAACTCACGGCACGCCTGCGCAGACGCCGGGACGAGGCATTAGAAGCTCCCCGTTACCGAGTCTCCGGGGACCCGATGCAGACGCAGGCCTGCGGCAGACGGGCAGCAGACCCAAGGGCACGAAGTTCACGAGGGCAGATCCCCACATGGCCTTTAAAATGATCACCCAACTCACGACAATCATCTTCCAGAAGCTGAGGACTGTGAGGACATCACAGGCTAACCACTGAAGTCTAGTTTACTAGACAAGAGGTGCCCGACTTCACAGGCTCGCTTTGCAGCGGGGCACACGGTGGCGGCGCCCGTCTCTGGGGACCCGCTGACAACAGCCGAGCCGGGGCGGCTCTCCCCGAGAAGAAAAGCTTGCGTGCAGGCACTGAATGCCACTCAGTGGCTCAGGGTCGGCGCCCCTCGAGGGACGCGACGACGTCCTCGGCACGCTCCCCCCAGCGGGTAAGAGCCGGACGGGGCCGCTCACCTGGTCGTAGTTGTCCTGGCCGTGGAAGAAGGGCTCCTTCCGGAAGATCATGCTCGCCAGCATGCAGCCCAGGCTCCACATGTCCAAGCTGTAGTCGTACATCTGCGGGAGGAAGGGCAACCAGTCAGCCGGGGGCTGCACTTCCCTGAGGGGAGAGGGGAGGCAGCCGAGGCGAGTCTGAAGTTGCCGTTCCGAGGTGGAATAAGGACTGAATTCCGAACGCACCCCAATGGGCCAAGCGAACACCAGGAGCAGGGGAGCCCGGGAGAGCCGAGGAGGAGCCCCAAGGGGACGTGAACGAGTGTGGGGCACCCCGGGGCCGGCTCACCTGGTAGTCCACCAGCAGCTCGGGCCCCTTGAAGTAGCGGGAGGCCACGCGGACGTTGTACTCCTGCGCAGGGTGGTAGAACTCGGCGAGGCCCCAGTCTATCAGCCGCAGCTGCAGGCACGACAGAGACCAGGCGTGTGAAAGGACCGCTTCCACACGCCTGTGCCGCCACAGGACAGGGCCACACCACACCAGATGGGTATTATTCGGCCACATACAAAAGGACAGCAAGGGCACTGGCTAAAAAGTTATACATTCTGCAACTGCGTAAGAGGTTATTTCTACTGTAGAGCAGAGGACTCAGGATCTTATTTGCTTTTTCTTTTTTAAAATTTAAAGCATCCTGGCTTATTCTCTTGAGATCCATAGAGCTTGAGCTTTTTCGGGCTCTGTCCCACTTACAGGTGTTCCTCGCCCCCTCGTTAACAGCCTCATCGTAAGCTGCAGTCACCCCGGACGGGGCGAGGACACGTGCCCCACTCCGCAGGGAGCACCGCTCGGCTCCTCATGAATCTACTCCTGGCTGACTCATTTCCTCGCCCGTCAGGGACAGCCAGAACTGGACATTGAGAACAGGAGGGACCCAAGTACCCTTTGAAGGCCAGGCAGACGGGCCTGTGGGGTCACTAAGCAGGAGAAACCATCGGCTGCGGTCTCTTTCTTGAGGCCTTCCCGAACACCATGAGCACGACACACAAGTGCCTGCAGTTGGGCCCGGCCGGTCGCCCACCCTCCTCGCGTACTACGCCCACACCAGGCAGAAGCCGACAGAGGCCAGGGAGGTGACAGTATCACGGTTGGACCAGGAGAGCCGCATGGATCTGCAGCGGCCACCTCGGTCCTGCCCGCACGTCGGCCCCGTCCTCACTGCCTGGCTGTGGTGGTACCTTTTTCTGCTGGTGGTCGATCATGACATTGTGAGGTTTCACATCCCTGTGCATGATGCCCTTGCTGTGGCAGTAATCCAGAGCCTGTCAGACGAGAAAGCACAGGGAGCAGTGAGCAAACCCTCTGCCGCCCGCCCCCCGGGCAATCATGTTCTTGCTCGTGACAGCCTGACGTGGACCCAGTCCCCCAAGGGGCAGCCCAGGGTCTGAAACGGGAGGAGGCGCGCTGCCAAAGGCACCCCTGCTCCCCGCACACGGCGGGGCGGCTGGTGGGTGGGAACTATGGAGGGGCCGTCACGGCCACGGCGGAGGTTTTTTAAGAAGGGTTAACGACACACCCTTTGGCACGCCTCCCCTCCTCACAGCTGGTGGCAATGTATCAGCCACCTGGATTTAGCAACATGAATCTACTGGTCGAATCGGCTATGTTTAAAACCAGATCTGGGAAGCTCACTCGAGTCACCTCTCATCGTGGTTCAAATGACATGCGAGGAGGAGTCCATGTGGACGTGAAGAATGACACCCAAATGCACCTTTCAACACGGCTTGTTTTTTAGGTAAGGGCACCACCACGTGGGTTTGCTAGACTGAGGCACATTCTAACATTAGTATTTTGCTTTAAAACAGTCTCTGAGCTGCCCTGCCCTGGCAGCTCGGTTGGTCAGTGTGGTCCCCACACTCCAGCGCTGCCAGTTCGATCGCTGGTCAGGGCACACACAAGAGGTAGCCGGGAAAGGTGTAAGTGGCTGAAGCAACAAATCACTGCTTTTCTGTGTGTGAAATCCATACATTAAAAAAATGTTTTTAAACAATCCCTGAGCCGGTGGGTCTTTAAGAATTATGATTATATTATTAATCTAAAGGAAAAAATGGCTTCCTTTAGGACAGATGATAGGCAGATACGATTCTGAAGCGTACAAGTCACTGGTTTTTTTTTTTTACTAACTTGAGAGAGCTGTGCAGCCGTCATCACTCCCCAGCTCTGGACTTTGCCGTCACCCCAAGGAGTTAGTTCCCTTAAGCTTGCCTGCACTCTAGCCCCACGCCCACCCGCCCGCTATGCCTTCTCCCTCCTCTCCCCTCCCCACCCCCGCTTCCCGACCTGCGGCTGCTGCGGACTTGCCCCTCCTGGACACGCAGGGACCGAAATGCTACATCGCGAGGCACTCTGCCTCCCCTCCCTCGGCACGGTCCCGGGTCCCGAGCCTCATCCGCGCTGCCTTTTCCTGGTTGAGCAGCGTTCCACTGAGAATGTACTAGCTGGTGAACGTCTGGGCTGTTTCCACTCTTTGGCTATTATGAATACGCTGCTTATGTTCACGTCCCAGTCTCTGAGACCACGTGTGCTTTCCTTTCTCTTGGGTCGATTCCTAAAGGTACAAGTGCTAGATGGTATGTGAGTCTACGTTAAGCTTTTTAAAAATCTGCCGAACTCCTCTCCGAAGCAGCTGCACCCTCTCACGGTCCCGCTGGCAGCGTTGGAGCGCTCCAGCTCCCCCGCCGGTAGCCCACGCCCTCCGCCGTCCACACCCTCCGCCGTCTGCCTCTCAGGCGGCGGCACCTCACCGCGGTTTTGTTTGTGTCTCCCTAACAAGCAGTCAGGTGGAAGGTCTTTTCTTTCTTGTGCTTATTCGCCACCCTATATCTTACTTGACAAATGTTGATTCAAATCTCCTACCCGTTTTTTCACGTGGGCTGTTTTTGTTCCAAATAATTAAAAAAAACAGCTCCTAAATCTCCCTTTTCTTGTACAATGTAACTTTTCATAAATTTCAATGTTAGACCTGTTGGCTTGTTTTAAAAAAGAAAAAAGCCCTTGAAACCCACGAGTCCCATAACATACTCCTTAAGCAATAACAATAGCAACCCATAATCCTATGGTACCTACTATGTGCCTGACACTGAGGGATCTTGGTGGAGATGTCCATTTGGGACAAGATCAGAGCTTCTCAGTCTCAGCACTGGTGACACTTTGGGCCAGATAACTCGTTGCTGAGGAGAGCTGTCCTGCACTCAGTAGGATATTTAGCGGAATCCCAGGCCGCTACTCACCAGATTACAGTAGCGCCCCTCCAACCTGAACCACCAAAAATAGTTCCGGACTGCCCAGCACCCTCTGGGCACAAAGCTGGCCTGACCGAGAACCACCGGACTAGACCAGCACAGGCAGTGCACTAGGCATCTTTGGTGGGAGGGCAGACATCAGCCAGAATTATCCCCAGCACCAGCCTTCCAGGAATGAGCAAAGTTGCCTTCCCCAGGCACAAAGAGTACACGTGTCTGATGCTTTTTACATGAAGGTCAACAGGCAGAACTGCCCTGACTGGTGTGGGCTGAGGGTCACCCTGCAAACTGAAAGGTCGCCAGTTGGATTCCTGTTCAGAGCACATGCCTGGGTTGTGGGCCAGGTCCCTCCCTGGGTAGGGTGTGTGAGAGGCAGCCTACTGAAGTTTCTCTTGCACAGTGTTTCTCACCCTCTCTTTCTCTCTCTCTCCCTCTCTCTCTAAAAATAAATAAAATCTTAAAAAAATAAAGGACAAGCAGAACTAAACTATGAAGTTGGAAGTGAGAATATAATCTTCAGGGGAGGGGATAGTGAACAGAGGGCACAAGAGAGCGATGCGGGGTATCGTAGCATTCCCCACCAGCCCTGCCCAGCAGAATCTCCTGCAGTGACAGAAATACTCTACATCCGCACTGTCCACACGCCGTGAGGCCTCTGGGGACTGGAAATGCAAACAGTGCAGCTACGGAACCGAATTTTCAGGCTGGTGACCTGCAGCTATACTGGACAGCACAGTTCTGTGTAGCTGTGGGTACAGGTTTCACTTCCACAAAATCCAACAACCTGTACACCTCAGATTCGTTCACTTTGTTTATGTAGGTTCTACTCCCCATCGGTTCTCTCTGTGTTTTGTTTCTCAGCAAAGCTGCAGCGGGACTCCATGGTGGCTCTGCAGCAGCGCCTCAGGAAACCGGGGCTCCTGAGGACGGAGCTCCCCGACTCGGAATCAGATCGGACTCGGTGCGCCTTGGTGAGTCGCCGAGCAGTCCCCCATGGCCTCGCCCCCCGCCTCTGCCCCCTCAGCAAGCTGAGACACTGCCTCTTCTCCACCCCTGCTCTCCCCCGCAGAGACACGCTGAGCAAGCCTTCCTCCGCGTGCTTTGCCTGGTCCTGGCCCCGATGAACTGAGACTGCAACACCTGGGGTGCGAAAACCACCTGACCACAACAAAGGCTGAACAAACTCGGGATGGGAAGGAGTTCTCTGCCAAGGTTCTCGTCAGACTCCCCGTGGCGCTGCGGACACGCTTTGAAACTCCTCGGGGAATTCTTTCAGTTTTCAAGTCGGGTCGTTAATGACCACCAAGCACAAGAGACGTCTTTTAACTCCCACCTGGGCTTCCGCGCTCACCAGCAGCAAGTGGGCCCTGACCACCCGGCTGCTGCCCCGGACGGCAGAGGGGACGCCCGTCAGACTTGAGTGCCACCTGAAGGGCCGGCCTGCGACGAATGCAGGTGGGGACGGCTCCACCTGGCCCAAGGACAACTGCGCTAGGTCCCAACCTCACCTTTGGGGTGCCAGCCTGACACGGAACCGCGACAGCTCACTTTGAAAGAATAATCCCTTGTGGGGCCGGGACTGCAGCTCACACGGGTGAACGCAGGGCGTCTCCGAAAAGCACCTCCCGGGACGGACATGGGGCCCTGCCGTTTTGGGGGATCGCTCCCCCGCCGCAGCCTTCGACTCCGTCCAGAGAGGACGGGAAGCGGGGGGAACCGAGCTCTGCCTCCTTCATCTTTCTGGTCCTACTGACGGAAGACCCTCCGACGTGCGAGCACACCTTCACTCCCACCGCCCTGGCTTTAACGGCAAGTGGTCTGCTTGCACAAGTGCCCGAGAGAAAACACACTCGCCTCACCGAGCCAGTCCTCACCGTCCCGCTCCCTAACGCTCGGCCTTGACTCCACTTGGTGTTTTGTTCCAGCAGCTATTCACAACCCAATCAAAACCCCAATCCTGGCCATTTTCTTCAGCGACCCCAAGACTCGAGTCCCTTCGACAGCCTTTCAGAAGTTCTTAATTTGAGGTTCCCACCTCCCCTAAAACTTGAAGTAATCCTGTATATTTATGTATACGTTTTTGAGGTGGTTTCATTGCTTTCATATTCATATTCATATTTTTAGTGATCTATGACACTAAAAAACTTCAGAACCATTAGTCTATTCCATTTTACAAATCTTTTTCGAGTTCTTTACCTAGATAAACTAAAAGAGACCATTTCTCCATCAATCAGTAACACTTGAACATCTCAATGTTGGGTTAGTAAGCCCCCAGAAGGTCCACCCATCACCTCTCCCTACACGTCAAGGCTAACCGACCAGGGCTAGAGGTTACGTTGTCTCATATAAAGGGATTCCAAGAGACGGCAAGGAAAGGAGAGCCACGGATGCCTGCCAAACCGGTATGCATGCCCCCCCACATGACGTCTGTGCTCAGCCCATCGAGAGGCGGGGTCTGCTTCTCCCCCTTTGAGTCTAGGCCGGGCCATGTGACCTGCTCTGGCCAACAATGAGCAAACACGGCCCAGAAGGGGCTCCAAAAGCACGTGCACACCAGGTTAGCCCTCTCTTGCGGCCGGGCACCCTGAGGCCAGCACAGGAAGCGGCCCGGCCAGCCCCTGGAGGACGAGGCCCCAGCTGTCCCAGCAGCCATCCCAGTTTTGCGAGCGAGGCCGTCCTGGCCCAGCTTAACCAACTAGTCCCAGTTAAGTGACTCCAGACCAAAAGACTCAGCCAGCTAACTGACAGAGTTATGAGAAATAATACATTATTTTTAAGAAGTTACTAAGTTGGGTGATTTGTTACACAGTACAAACTAGTTAAGTATTAATTAAGCAGCCGAAGGAAAACCCAAGGGGCAACGAGAGCGCGGAAGGGGAGGTCCTCATGTCTGGTGCATGTCCCTGGTGCCCCGGACCTGGCCCCCTTCCTCGGGGCCACTGGTACGTTTCTCCGGAAGACCCCACGGTGGAGGCCTCCCGGGAAGCAGTGCAAAAAACAAACCAAAAGCAAAAACCCTGATTGAATACTATGGGTATCAAGAAATATCCCGCTCGAGTTCTTTGTTCTCTCAAAAACTTCTCCTTTAGTGAAAAAGCCTGAAAAAAACTCATTGTTTATGAAGGCCACTTACTTTAAGTAGTTCATACATATAAAACCGGATATCAAAGTCTGTCAGGATCTGGTAAAGTTGCTGAAACAGAGTTCAGAAAACAGAAGTTTAATTCAGTGTCATTGCATCTTGTCATCCTAAACGCTCGTCATTATTCTCTACCCTTAATGCTCGAGTCACTAAAGAATCCCCAACGTTTTACTCCATGACCTGTAACCAGTGAGGACAGAGACTAACACGAAGGTCTAATACTTCAGTCTTCCAGAGAAAAAAAAGAAAGGAATGCTGGGGGGGGGGGGCGGGCAGGGGGGGGGGGGGCCATTTATTCCAACCTGGATCATTTGGAGACGTGTTGAATGCCCCCCCCCCGCTCCGTTCCAACACCCACAACCGCCCCACAGTGGCCGAGAAGCCCCAGGGGCCCCGCTGCACGGCACGCAGGCCGGCCCCGCAGCAGCACCCAGCACACGGTAGAGAGCAGAGTGCCCACGACAGAAGAACCCGAGAAATATCACTGGCCCGTGCGGTGAGGCAGCGGCAAGACAGCCAATCTGCTCGTGGAAGAAACACGAGGAAAAGGGACTGCTACAGCATTCAGAAAAGGCAAGAGGCGAAAAAATCTATGCCCTCCACTGCCCGCAAACCAGCCCCAGGCTAGGAAAAAGAACACTTCACAGGCACTGCGGATGGGAACTCAAGAAGCCAAATGCTTTAGGGAGAAGGAAAAAGGAGTGGTGGAGTGGAATGTTAAAAATGGACACACGGAAGACAGTTTTCATTACTGATACTCCAAAGACCCACCCGCTGGGAGGGGTTTTTTTTTTCATTTCAATTTCTAAGTGGTAAAGTAGCATCTATGAACCCAGGTTCATTAAGACCACAAACTTGTCAGAAACTATCCTATTACTTTTGATAATCAATTCCAAATAAATTTCTTTCCCCATCAGCACTTCCTATGAAATTAAATAGCACACCTTCATGAAATATATTTTGTTTCTCTCTTTATCACAAGACTCAAGCAACACACAGAAAATCCCTCCAGGGAGCAAGAACAGTGTCTGTGTAAATGGGTGGGGGGCGGGGGTGGGGGGGTGGCGTGGAGGACAGTGGGGACTCAGGGGAATAAAGGAGACTTTTGAGGCATATAAAGCATTTCATATTTCAGATCCGTGTAAATATATCACCTGTTCAAAATGACTCTTAATTTGCTAAAAATCATATTTAACATTTTCTAAGAACACCAGGACTCCTCCCTCTCAAAGGTCCCCTTTAAATTAGAGTGCTTCCCCCTGCAGCTTAGCAAGGATATCTGGTTTCCTCAACCTTGGGCGGGGCTGGCTCAGGGCACGGGCAGTGCAAACATCCACGCCAGTGCACGCACACTGCTGCTGGCGCCTGGCGGCTGCCCCCCACCCCCCGCCGCCCCGGAACCCAGTGCACACAGGTACAAAGGCACGACACGGCACCACTTCTGCTCGGGAGCTTCAACTGCGTAACAGCCCAACACCCAAGTTTTTGTTCTCCTCCAGCACAACCCCAACCTGTAGGTACAGAACCACGCCGCAGATTACCATCTGTGTGCGTGTCGAATCAGCTCCTCCTCTGAGAGCTGGGGAGAGCACTCCCAGGACCATGCCAAGTTGAACCTCAAGCCAGTAAGTAGGCCAGACAGTGAGAACAGCTCGCTCTCACCCTCAGAGGGCGAGGGTGCTTCACATCCCGAGAACAAACGTGGGCTACTTCTCTATCCGGACTTTTTTCTGTGGAAGGCTTTCTTCTCCCATCATGTGGTATCTATACCAAGCATCTGGGTAATGGTTTAGCAGGGCTGTCCAACCTGTAGCCCAGGATGGCTGTGAATGCAGCCCGACACAAAATCATAAATTTACTTAAAACATTGAGATTGTGTGTGTGTGTGTGTGTGTGTGTGTGTGTGAGAGATTACGTGCTGCAATGTATTTAATGTGTGACCCAAAACAGCTCTTCTTCCAGTGTGGCGCAGGGATGCTAAAAGGTTGGACACCCCTGGCCTAAGGCATAAAAATAAATGTCCTTGGACTGCCAATATAGGATTTCCAGCTACTCCAATTAGCATCAATTTTATGTAGCACAGAAACACCAGTTGAATACAGCAGGTAGGTCTAATACACTCTGAGTCCTGAATGACAGGCTGACGCTGATTGTAGTTCTCAGGAGCTCTGGGCAGGAAGAGACCAAGTGGCACCTGCAGCATTTTACCACCTGGGCTAAAAAATTCAAGACCTGCCAGGGCCCAGTTTGGCTGCCTCCAACTTTTGGAGCTGTCTCCACCGCAGACCCCAGGGGTCCCCCACTCGGATCAAACAAACCTGGGTTTGCCACTTCCATCATCCCCTCTGCAGTGTCCCCATGCCCCCAAAGCAGGACTACCCTGATGCCCCTCCCCTCGCCCACAGAGGCAAACCCACCCCCACCCAGAGGCCACAAAGCCGAAGCCTGTCGTCCTCTGCTGTTTCCGCAGGACGCCGCAGCAGCAGGGTCCCCGAGGCGGCAGCGGCCCCCGCACTCACACCGAAGCACCCCGGGCCGACCGAGACAGCGATGCACTGTGACATGCACGAGACGCTGCCCCACTCCGCTCTCACCCCAGAAGCCCGGGGAGTGTCCTTGTGTGCTGTGGCGTACACGCGGGGGCTGCAGCCGGCAGCAGTCCCCGCTCCGGTGGGTCACGATCTCTGAACTTTCCCTCCCCGCCCACCTCAAGGATCTCACACATGACTGGGCCGGACGCTAAGCCCACACGTAGCAGAACGCCGCGTGCCTTACACACCTGCGTGTTCCACACCGAGTTCGGCGGTCCTCTCCCTGCACACGGAAGGCAGGTGAAAGACTTGTCTTTGAGGATGTTCCAGTCAACAGAGCGAAACAAAAACTGCCTTCCTAAAAACCAGCAGCACTGAGAGTCCCTGACAAACGAGAAAGGGACCCTCCACAAGAACCAAACCTTTTCTCCGCTCTTCTTAGCCAGCTACGTGGACAACAGCACTAACCAAACAACTGCAAAACGCTGGCAGGGTGTCAGCTTTCCTTACGTTTCCATAAAGCAACTGTCTTATCAAAAACAAAGCCAGCCCGGCTTCCCGGCAGATCACAAAGGTGCTGTGGGGGAACGGGTCACCAAGCCTCGCTCGGCTCCAAAGCAGCACCGGCACCTCCCTGGAGACGAGTCCTGCTTCGGACGGCTCCCAGGGCCCGCGGCGGGGGCTTCCTGGGACTGTTACTCAATCTCAGGAAGTCTGAGGAGCAGAATGGGAAAAACGCAATTCCATCAACAGACTCAGAGCCTCCTTAAGGCTAGAGCCAGCACCCGGAGGGGAACGGCCCCAAGCGGCCTCACTCCCGCTGTTCCACAGTCGGGTCCTCAGCCTCCAGTGCCGGGTCAGCTGCAGCGGGGTCCCCGACCGTCGTCACCTGGGAGGACTTCCCACTGTCGGCAGGTCCCGGGCCAGACGTGGCAATCAACAACACAGCGCCCCTCACCCTGGACAGAGGGCTTGCACATCCCTGACACACACGGCTCAGCCTACGCGCAGGAGTCCCAGGGGTGCCCACACAGGGGCAGGAAAAAGCAGGGGCAGTGGGACAGAAAGTGAGTAAAAGGTGTTCAGTGCAGCGGTCTCTAGTTGTGGCACTGTTAACCCCTAACCCCAAGATCCAGAACAAAACCAAGGTCAACATCTTTAGAAATTAAGGAAGCAGAACAAATCTTTAGTCAGGGCCCGCCCTATGGGATGTAGAAATTCTTCACAGATCAATACCACCTTCTCCAGATGGAGCATTTGGAATATCTTACCAATCTCCAAAGTGTCCAAATGACACACTTAAAATGTATATTCATTTCTATTTATAGTTTCCAAGGCATAGAAAACTGAGAAACATGTCTCAACAGAAATTACAGTATTTTGCCCTGGCTGGTATGGCTCAGCGGATTGAGTGCCAGCCTGCGAACCAGAGGATCATCAGTTCAATTCCCAGTCAGGGCACATGCCTGGGTTGTGGGCCAGGTCCCCAGGAGGGGGAGTGCGAGAGGCAACCACACACTGATGTTTCTCTCTCTCCCTTCCCTTCTCTAAATATAAATAAATAAAATCGTTAGCTCTGGCTGGTGTAGCTCAGTAGATTGAGTGCCAGGCTGTGAATCAAAGGACTGCCGGTTCGATTCCTAGTGATGGTGCATGCCTGGGTTGCAAGCATGGTGTCCAATTGGGAGTACACGAGAGGCAACCACATGTTGATGTTTCTCTCCCTTTCTTTCTCCCTTCGCCTCTCTAAAAATAAATAAATAAATAAATAAATAAATAAATAGATAGAATATTTTTTGGGAAATCTAAAAAAAATAATTACAGTATTTCTACTTCAAAAAGGCACCTTACCCACTTTGAGATAATTTGGAGTTTGGGAGTTTTCTGTAACTATTCACTTCAACTTTTAGAGACTGGCTTTTCCTATTGATTTGAAGTTTTGTCTTTTGTTCTAAGTATTGCCATGTATCTTTTATTGTCACTTTGACACATATGAAGTGTTACAGATGATAATTTCAAGGAGAAACTGACCAAAACAACCTCTGCCATTAAAATGAAACATCAAGGGCAAAAATGGGTAAGGCCATAAAAGATATGAACTAAGTTAACAAGCTTGATATAAAACCTGACCGTGCACTAAATTCCAAATAATCCACATTCTATTGATCATGTTTTCTGGACACAGTGTAACCAAATTAGAAATCAATAACAAAAAATTTTTTTTGTTTACTTTTTTTGGGTCCAAACTGTAAGAGAAAGTTTGTTTTGAAAATCACAGAGGCAGAAGAAGTGAGCTGTGGAAGAAATGAGCCCTCGGAGTGCAGGAGGGAGGAGAGAGAAGGGTGAAGGGTGAAGGGTGAAGGGTGAAGGAGATGCGCAGGGCCGGGGGGAAGGCCTGGGCAAGCTCCTAAGAGGGAGAGCGCCAAATTTTTTTTTAAACCAAGTGGATCCTGGATCATATATTCACGACGCCAAAGGATATTCCCAAATAATAAATACTGAGAAACTTTTAATATGGACTGTATACTGTTAAATGGCATTATTGTATAAATATTAAAACTCTGAAGTATACTAACAGTATTGCAGTTCTGAAAGAAAATACGCGGCCTAGCTCCTATCTAGTGTATTTAGGAGTGAAGTGTCGTGGTGTTTGCAACTTTAAGATGACCTCAGCAAAAGGAGAGCTAGAAACGAAAAGGGCAGCGTAGAGGGGACGGAAGAAATACATGCAAACGTGGCAAAATATTAACTGATAAATCTAGGCGAACAATGTAAGGGCACTGACTGCGAGACACTCTCCAATTTTCAGTAGGTCTAAAAAGTTTCCAAGCAAAAAGTTTGGGGAGCAAAACCAAACCCACAAGGTTGGAATTTGTACTTCTACCCTGAATGCAGAAGTGAGTTCCATGACCGTGAAATACAGCCAAAATGGTACCTGAGGTTTACAGACTCACTACCAATCAAGACAGGAGGAGACAAATAAGGCAACGTCACCTCAAGAAGTTAGAAAAAAACCCCAAAAGAATAGAATTAAGAGCATAATCAATAAAATATATTTTTAAAAAATTAAGGAAGAAAGAAAATCATAAATTAATAAAAGATGGGAGAGGAAACAGAATGAACTAGAAAAACAAACAAAAACAACACCTGTGCCCTGACCTACATGGTGAGCTCAGTGGTGGGGTGTGTCCCCTGTAAAGCGCGTGGACTCGGGTTCAATTCCCGGTCAGGACACATGCCTGGGAATTGTGGATTTGGTTGCATGTATAAGAGGCAACCGACCAATGTCTCTCTCTCACATAGATGTTTCTGTCCCCTTCTTCTCCTCTAAATAAATAAAATCTTAACACACACACACACACACATTAAAAACAGGGAGCAAGAGAAAGCCCACAGGACACTCCCCACAGCCCTCCTCCACTGCGGCTACTACGACGCCAGCAGCCAGGCTTGCAGTCCTCAGCACAGGAGCCGACAGTCACCCCTCAGTAACTTCGTGACTCCAAAATCTCAGCAAACACTCAAAACCATAACATTTCAGATGAATGGAACAGAGGACAAAACCAGAAACACTCCAAAAAAGGAATCTGGAAGAAAAACAAAAAAGGCCTGAAGAAGAAAACAATGGGGAAAAAGAAACACTCTCGGGGAGAAAACAGAAGGTATTACGTAAAACATGAAAGAACAGGATGCTCTCTCAAAGGGTGCAGAGGTCTCAGATAGGAAGGTGAACATCCACATGAGTTCAAGAAAGTGGGAACAAAGAAAAAAGGGAAGAAAATCAAAGAACATTAAAAATATTTTTCCCTAACGGAAGGACATGAGTTTCTAGATGGAAAGGGCCCAGGAGGTGCCCAGAGTGACAGACGAGCGCGCCCCCCGGGAAAGCTCGTCCCCGGGCAACTTCGGAGACCGAGAGTGGAGGGAGAGCCCACGAGCGTTCGGAAGGACAGAGGCCAGGTCTCACGCGAGATGAAACCAGAGTGGCTTCAGTGGGAAGAGGGGATCGATCTCTCCAAAATTCTGAGGAAATTATCGGTTACGACCTGAGTTCTATGCTACAGCAAATACATAATTGGGAGAAAGATGTTTGCAGGTAGGCAAGCCTCTGAAAACATTAAATCCCCATGAACCTTTTAAAGAAAGCTCCTGGAGAATGCATGCCATCAAAACATCCCCTTTTTAAGAAGCCAGAGTTCTCTAGGGAATTAAAAACTGACCTTCTGAATGTTGTTAAATCATCCCATCAATTTAAGCAACACGGTATGCTCAAAGTTCAAGTTTACACGTGTGGCTGGACAGCTGGAAACTCACAAGGAAGCAGAGGCATTTAAAACCGAGGGGTTTCCCTGGGAAGTTCCATGAAGACTGCCTTTGGAAGTCTTATATTAGGAAGACGTTTGGTTTCACAGAGCCCGTCTATTTCTTAAAAAACACACACAACCCCCTTGAAAAACCGGGTCATTCATAGCAAAAGCAAGGTCAGTGCATACACCAGCACAGTATTTTACCAGTGAAGCGCTACTATGCTGGTTAATGAAAAAACCTATACCCCACTTTTTAGAGTTCCCTAGTGGGTTAACAAGGAAATCTGTTACCTGTGGGGAATGCACGCTGTATATAAAACGTGCTTATTGTTTTACAAGTCGTACTACCCTCTTCACTAATTAGCCTATAGGATGTTTTAGAGGGATTATCTAAGAAAAATTCAATGTGAGAACAAGGTTCTTTTGTTTCCACCCAGAAGCATCACTCCCAATACCAGCACATTTAACTGTGACTCGGTTTCGTCCCTAACTTCCACTGCAACTAAATCACAAGCCAAAGCTGTCATCACCCAAAGGCTCTCTAAATGCCTCTAAAAAATCAATTCCACTTTTAAGAAATTTTTTTTCTTCTTATTGGTTTTCATATTACGCTCTGCTATGTCCACATGCCCAGCCGCCAAACCTTATTACAAGTTAAGGTTGCAAAACAAATTCATGAAAATCCAGCTTAAAATTGTGCTTTTAGAAGGACATTTCAAAGTCTAAATGAATACAAATTACAAGTATAAGAAGTTAAGTAAGCCGGGGTAGGGCTTTTCTGTGTCATGCGCTCAGTATACAGTGGGCACGGACACACCCCATCTGCGAGCCTGAAGCCGATGTACTGCTGCTTCTCACGTGAGCCCTGGACCTGTCCATCCCTTCCCATCAGCCGTGTAAGGGTCCCGAGAGAATCAAAGTTAACATCCGCCTACATCTGGTGTCTAAGACAGGGGTGTCACAGCTGCAGCATGGAGCTGAGACCCAGCCCAGCAGCTACTCCCAGAGAAAGCAAAGCAAAGGGTGCGGAGTGATGACGCCGAAGGCCAGAACCCTGACCCCTCTCTGCACCCTGCACTCGTGCTGGAGGGAATCCGGCTGGCTGTCTCCTACTCTCACAGACGACCTCTCTGCCCCCTCGTGCCCACAGTGCTTACTGCCCCCCACCCCCACCGGCCCCCATACCAGAAAGGAGGATATACGCACCTTAAAATCTGTATTATTGATATATTCGAATACCAAAGCTGGTGTCTTTGACTGCAAGAGAGAATACGAATGCTTATTAAGTATTCAAACAATAAACATAATTTGCTTCTGTTGCACTGGCCCATCCTCAGATCCCACTTAGATGAAAAAAATTCATCCACCAGGGAGAGACTAGTAAGAAAGTATCCTCTTGAAATTTTATGTCTGCAATTTGCTTCTAACTAACAGGACGGTGGGGAAGAGGGCGGGGCTCGGAGGGACGACCGCAGTGGCCACGCGCTGGCTGAGTGCTGTGCGCAGGCAGGCTCGACAGATTACTCACGTCACTGCTGTACGTGGCTGACATTTCTAATAAAGGGTTTTTTTGGTTTATTTTTTTTTAAAGAGATGTACTCTCTGACCAACCTGTCCAGCAGGCCTGGCACATTGTGTGAAGGTTTTTACTCTGCCGAGACCCAGTTTGCCAACCGTGACATAGGTCTTTTCAGGGTCCAGAAGGAAAATGGCTACAGTTATCAGCAAGTCATGTGGGATCACTTCCTTGGCTATAGACCATTAGGGATGTGTTCCCCAAAATCATATATAATCAAGTATTTTTAAAGAAATATAATCTTAGCCCTGGCTGGCGTAGCTCAGTGGATTGAGCGCGGGCTGGGAACCAAAGTGTCCCAGGTTCGATTCCCAGCCAGGGTACATTCCTGGGTTGGCCATAACCCCCAGCAACCGCACATTGATGTTTCTCTTTCTCTCTTTCTCTTTCTCTTTCTCTCTCTCTCTCTCTCTCTCTCCCCCCCCACCCTTCCCTCTAAAAAATAAATAAAAGAAAAAAAAGAAAAAAATAAATATAATCTTTAATGCAATAAATACAAAACAGTCAATATTTCCCTGGTGTAAAACAGATTTTCAAATGACAGGTTACTTAAGTGAGGTAGAAGAATGCTGATTCTCGCTTCCTTTCTACAATGCTGATTCTTCTACCTGCCTTATTGGCAGCAATAAGCTGTCAAAATCGGGAGAAAATCTGCAGAGGCTTAAAAGCATTCTAGAAAGGACAAACATCGTCTTGGAGAGCTCTGTGACTGGGAAGTTTAGCTGAAGGACGCAGATGGAGTCACCTGGGTCACTGGCCGCAGTGCACACACACAGGGCCCCTGCCAGGCCACCGGCCCCGAGCTGAAGGGTGTCGTCAAGACCACCAGCACTCCCTGCAGGCTGGGAGGAAGCGTGTTTCTCTCTGAGCCAGGGGAGGAGGGGTTCCCTGTTGGTCTTGTCCACTTCAATTCACTTGTTACACATCACGTAAAACACACACACCTCTTAGGTAATAAGAAAGGCAGCTGTCACTAAGTTCTGTGTCGCTATAAAATCGATCTGGCCAGATCAGACTGGGATATACTTTTAACGCCAATTAGATGGAATCTAAGAACAGAACTATCCTCCGTCTTTTCAGGGACCAAATTTTAAAAAACTCTTCCTTCTTCAGTTCTAATCTTGGGCCAGATAGCTACCCTCTGCAGACAGGTTTGCGTACCTGCAGGACGTGGCGGCACAGACAGTGACAGCGCCTGCCCCCGGGACTGCTGGGAGGGTTAAATGAAGCAACACAGTCCGACACCCAGCACAGTGCCCGGCACACGGTACGTGCCCAGCGCACGTCGGCTACGTTATTACGGGGTATCTTTAGCAGACGGATACAAGACCTACTTCTTAACTGCACAAAAGCTATCATGGGAGAGTAGGGACGTATTTGAGGTACAGCAGGCGGAGAACAGAAAAGGCACGGGAAGCGGTATAAAAGCGATATAAAAAAGCCTCAGTGAATCACAAACACGTAAGGTTAAGTTACTCCTGGGAAGAGGAAAAAAACTAAGCAGCATCCCTAAAATGGCTACAAATTAAGCATTTTAACAAAAAATATCTCAGCTGTCTTTGCATATGCCGTGTGAACCCTAGTGGTGGACGTGGAAGCGGACTCCAGCAGGAGCAGCAGCGAACCTGCTTCCTGCACGGCCGCTGGGCCCGGGGCCTGCTCGCCCTCCCTGCCAGGCGTCCGTCCACTCGGAGATGCTCGGGATGCCCTCGGCAAACCCAGGCGTTTCAGGCGAGGTAAAATAGCGCTAACCGGGAGCAGTAAGCTTACGGACCGGGAGAAAAGCAGGGCCTTAAAGGAGATACTCAGCAAATGCATATGTGAGCTGAATCCAAATGATGAGGTGATAAATCTGGGACAGGGACTGGTCCACATAAAAGACATTTTTAAGCCCTGGCTGGCGTAGCTCAGTGGATTGAGCGCGGGCTGGGAACAAAGTGTCCCAGGTTCGATTCCCAGCCAGGGTACATTCCTGGGTTGCAGGCCATAACCCCCAGCAACCGCACATTGATGTTTCTCTCTCTCTCTCTCTCTCTCTCTCTCTCTCTCTCTCTCTCTCCCTCCCCTCCCTCCCTAAAAATAAATAGATAAAAAATCTTTAAAAAAATAAATAAATAAATAAATAAAAGGGGCATTAAAAAAAAAAAAAAAGACATTTTTAGGTTTTATTGGACCAGTGGTGGCTCTCTTCCCACTGAGCCAACTGTGACTTTTTCTGTTTTTCAAAATCATTCAGTAGGAAAGACCAACACAATCATCCTTACTATGTAATATGTCTCCTTGTATTAGGTTCTATGTGCCTCGCGTGTGCGCGTGAACACACATACACATTCACACATACACACTCACACTCACTCACTCTCCCCCAACCATCAGGCACCTACCACGGGGTCCTTCACAGTGTCAATCAGCTTAATGATATTCGTTCCACCGCGAAGGTTCTCCAGAATCTTAACCTCTCGTTTTATCTTCTTTTTCTTCACTGGCTTAAATACACAAGAGTAATCAGAGTAAGACTCCCTTTGAAATTAACACATAAAACTTTAATACGATGTTAGCTAATCCAATGGATACTGCACCACCTTGTACGCCGTGTTGTGTTAAAGAGCGTGTCTAAATCAGAAGAGGAAAAAAACCCAGATAAATGGGCCTGTCCATAAGAACTTACAAGATTAAGTTAAATAATTTACAGACTTATAGCTTATGTGTCAGATCTTTAAGTAGGGCACTTAAAAAAAATTTTGAACACCCATGTCATACTTTAAAAATAAAATGCTCACTGGGTAACGGCCAAGTGGAAAATGTTACAGCTCCGAACAGCTGTATACATGCGCCCGCAGACGGAAAAACTTCCACAAAATGGTGAGGCACCTGCTCTCCCCACGAGCCACACGTAATTCTGTCTCTCAGGAGCGAGGGCCGGCGCCCCGCCATCGAGTTACAAACGTGTTTCCCAGCTGCTGGCCCCATTTCCTGCCGCCACTCCCATTTCCTTCACATCCAGAGTCCGAAACGAGCACCCAGCCGGTGACGCCGCCCAGCAGACCCCATTCCCGACAGAGGAGATAACGGGGCGGCGGTGCGGGAAGCAGACCTCTCGTCGGCAGGGACCGAAGACCTCAGCTACCTGCTGTTCTTCCCGACTGCTCGACGCGGACATTAAAGACCTTGCCCAGAACCACGAGTGTTTATTCACGGGCTGTTTCTGAAGCGGCCCAAGGAGTCCAAAGTACGCACGCCACAATCAGCAGTGTCTTATAAAGCACTCAGCACAGTTCTGGCACACAGTAAGCACCCTGTAAATGTCAAATTCGTCATTTTCAAAGGTGCAGCTAATGGTAAGTCTTACTTCATTTCCACAAAATCCCCATGCACGGAGTCAGCCGAGACGAGCTGTCTGCCCAGGGGCCGCCCCGCTACCAGCCGAGAGGGCAGGAACCACGTCTGGGCGGCCTGGCTGCAGGTCTCACCGGCGGCCACTGTGCTTTCATTTCCCAAGCGCGGCCACGTCACCGACATAACGAAGGAAAAGGAATATTCCATCACTGAGTCACCGTTATAGTGAAACAGCACAGGCAGAGAGGCCAATGGTCTGCCATGAAACAAGACTTCAAAAGCCTGTGCGTGTGTGTGGTGGTGGTGGTGGTGATGGGGTGGTGGTAGGGGTGGCGGCGGGGTGGTGGTAGGAGTGGTGGTAGGGTGGTGGTGGTGGGGGCAGCAGTGGTGGCGGCGGTGGTAAGGGGAAATGACTTCTACATATGCCAGAGAAACCTTCGTCTGCTGTCGGTCACTAAGCTACAGCTCTGAACACACAACAAAGCGGAGGGAGGAGAGTAATGAGAAACAGAGCATCCCCACCACCTACAAACGGGGGCTCCATGGAGAGACCCGGGGTCCAGCTGCGCTCCTCCACGCCGGCTGCCGACGGCCATGCCCACCGCACCCTGCCGGGGCTCCCAGCAGAGCGGGTCCGGCTGCCGCGTCCCTGCCCCATCTCCACTCAGCCCCCGTGCGCCGCACTCTCTTCCTCGTGACCAGGGAGGCTCGAGGCTGCGGGGAAAGGGGGCGCTCGACCACGAGGCTGGAGCAGGCCGCACTGCAGCACGAGGGGCCCGCAGGCTTCAGGAAGGCCAGCGTCAGGAGGCACACAGACCGAACAGCTGCTCTGCTTCGCATTAGAAGGATGACTTAACGTGACACGTGACCTGGGCTTTTCTTCGATATAAAGAACCTTCTAAGGATCACTGGCACATGAGAACAAGAACTACAGATCAGCCAAGGGCATCGTATCGACTGTCATTTCTGAGTTTTGATCCTGGCACTGTGAGTTATGTCAGAAACTGCCCTTGTCTTTAGGAAATACACACTGAAGTAGGGATGACCGCAAACTTACCCTCAGGCACTTAAAAAAAAACATATGTAAAGTAGATATAAAGATACGTGCGTGTGCCTACATGAAAGAAAACTAGAGAGAAGGGTACAGCACACATCAACGTTTGAGAAATGTGGGTGAGAGATACATGGGGATTCCTGCAGCTCTTCTGCAAGTCAGAAATTACGTCAAAAAGTTCAAAGAAAAATAAAAGCTGACTATCATATCCATAAATTCGGCCAATGCTACGGGTATATTCAATGTAAGAAATTCTCGATCTGTCACCCAGTACGGAAAATCAACTACGGATCCGTGGGGTGGTCGCGGAGAAACACACCCCCGACCAGCCACAGGCAGGAGGCGGTACTCGCACGCCAGGAGCCCGCCTCTCCTCCTGCGCACAGGCGGCAAGGGGCGACCCGCCCACCGCGCGGCCTCTGTGCCAGCGCCACACACGAAGCTCTGCTCTGCGCCCCTGCCACTCACTCAGCAAGGGGTCAGACAGGCGCACCGTTTCTGGACAACCCAGTTAAGATGAAGAGGTCTTTCGTTACGTCTACAGGTAACTTACAGACCAAGTGGACATATTTTGCTTCTCCAATGTTACCTGTTCAACAATCCCCAAACAAGAGAGGGGGGACAGCAGGGCAAACGAAGTGGCACAATGCAGCCAGGCAGCACCCGGAGTCCTACCACGGCGACAAAAGACCAAGAGACTGTAAACGAGGAAAGTGACCGACAGCCCAGGTGCGCCCCTCCACAGCACGGGCACCTGTTCCCCCGGGAACCAGGCTGCAGGGGACCCCCTTTCTTCAGCCTCGGCTCACTCTTTCCGAGCCTGAGAGATGCTGCAGAAGCTACCAACCCAACGCATCCCCGGGGAGTGAAAGGGACGGATTCTACACGCAGGGCTGGAGAGAGAAAGTCAGGTCGTGTAGGGGAGGACCCTTGCACCCTACGGAAAACAGATCATGAGTTTTACAGGGACAAGGATGCTGACTCCCCAGGCCAATATTCGTGCTCACTCACCACCAGTAACAAAAAGTGGAGAAAATACACACATTTTTATAACAATCTCATCATTGCATTTCATCACAGGCCAAAAAAGTCTCTTCCATTAACGTTCATTTATTACAATTCAGAGATGATCTGTTTAAAAGATTCTAACTAAATCAGCCTAGCTTTTTTCCAAACCAAAAACAAAAACAAAAATTTAAATCAAAGTCTAGTAGAGAAAATGGCAAGTATCTTTCAGATTGTATTTATTTATTTTCAGAGAGGGGAAGGGAGGGAAACATCCATTGGTTGCCTCCCACACACACCTGACCAGGGACCAAACCAGCAACCCAGGCCTGCGCCCTGACTGGGAATCCAACTGGCAACCTTTCGTTTTGAGGAATGACACCCAGCCGAGCCACACTGCTCAGAGCAATGGCAAATAGCTTTAAAAAAGAAATTAAACTAAGTATTTTTAAAAAGTATTAAGCCAAGTTTTAAAACAAATGAAATTTGGCACACACCTGAGAGAGAGAATATTAAAGGAAAAACTTATTCAAAATCTTCTGTGCACAATCTCTGAGAAGGAACGGAGGGAGGGGGGAGGGGCCTCAGAAGGTTCCTGCCCACGTGGGGAGGAGTCCAACTGTTTAGCAAAACTTTGTTCCATGTCATCCAAGACTAAGGTGCTGATTCTCTTTCCCTACTTACCAACGTTTCCAAATTTTACAGCAAAAGACAAATTTAGTTACGGGAAGCTTGGAAACGCAGAAGTCGATCCAGTCAGTAATCTGTCCTATTTACTTGCTCAGAGCTGCTTTTTAACAAGCCAGATCTGAGAATGAACTCCACTACCAGCGTTCAGTTATGACTGGATATGTAAACTAACATCTACCAAATGCATAAAAATAACTCCCAGCAAATACTAGCCGGGAAAGTCCCATTTTAATTTCTTTGCATTTCTAAGTAATGGACAAATTCAAGACAGGCAGGACTAGAGTTCAGAACCTTCAAATCTGGATCCACTTTTATCCCACCACCAAAGTGCCGACTGCCCCATGAAGACGCGAGCCTCACCACCTGCCCTGGGTAATTCCAAAGACTGGCTGTCCGGAGCGCAGGGCAGAGCGAGGACGGAGTTCAGCCTAGACGACAGCCTTCCCTTTACCTGGGTGGCACATCTAAAATCTTCTGGAGCCGACCTGAAGATAAACTCTACCCGAGCAACGCCGTGAGAGCAACGCTGTCTCTTCACGGCAACTTCTCCCTGATCTTTCAAGTCTCATCTTCCCACCTTGAGGGTAACTGTTTATTTTCAGGATTTAATTTTATTTTAATTTAAAAAGGCAAGGCACGTAGCAGGCCTTTTGACTCTCATTGAGAGAAGGGTAGTCCTTTTTACTATTGGTTCCGTCCCCTAAACCACAGGTGGCAAACACAAGGCCTGCAGGGTGAACCCGGCCCTCCACCTTGTTTCTACTCGGTGGTGGTGGCGGCGGCGCCAAGCTCCCCCTTAACTGTTAAGGAGCATCACATGTACACAGCCCTAAAATTTCCTTCGGCCCTTTGAAGGCAACCTTGAGGCTGATGTGGCCCCCGGTGAAACCAAGTTCGACACCCCTGCCCCAAACCATTCACCTGGCCCAGCTAACACAACACACCCTTAGTGTGCCTACTGCTTTGTAAGTGCCACGCACGGTTTTACACACATTTTAACCAACATCTAATAGTACTGAGAGTAGGACTTTTAACAGTCTTCCAGGACACGGAGGCACAGAGCTCCAATAACTGCCCAAGATCACAGAGCTTCTGAGTGTTGGAATTAACACCGGAATACAGGCAGTTTCTTTCCCAGGAAAGAAAACTACGTTGTAGGTTACTACAACAGTCTCCTCTACCTCCCCACCTCCCCACCTGTTTATGTCTCATGTGTTTCTCCCAACAACCCTACACAGTAAACGGGAAAGGCACACCCATTTTACAGATGAGAAAAAGAGAGTCGGGTGGGTATAAATGAAGCTGCTTCTAGAACCCTAGTCTTCTGCCTTCCATTTACCGCACTTCTCACCCTATACACCACCCTGATTTGGAGGTGGCAAATCCTAAAATTAGGCTCCACAAAATATCTGGAGCCATGTTCTATACACCAAACTGGGAACTTTACATCAAGATACTTTTTCTCACACATGGTTCACTCTCCAAAAAACTTTAACAAACCTATTAAAGGGATAAAACCACTAACCAGCCCTGGCTGGCGTAGCTCAGTGGATGGAGCGCGGGCTGCGAACCAAAGTGTCGCAGGTTCGATTCTCAGTCAGGGCACATGCCTGGGTTGCAGGCCACGGCCCCCAGCAACCACACATTGATGTCTGTCTGTCTGTCTGTCTCTCTCTCTCCCTCCCTCCCTAAAAATAAATAAATAAAATCTAAAAAAAAAAAAAAGATTATTTATTTATTTTTAGAGAGGGAAGAGAGAGAGAGAAACATCAATGTGCGGCCGCCGGGGGTTATGGCCTGCAACCCAGGAATGTACCCTGGCTGGGAATCGAACCTGGGACACTTTGGTTCCCAGCTCGCGCTCCATCCACTGAGCTACGCCAGCCAGGGCTTATAAATAAAAATCTTATTAAAAAAACAAAAAAAGAAACCCCCCAAAAAAAACACTAACCAAAAAATCTGGCACGTGATCATGCTGAGCTATGGAGGAACTGTAATGGGTTAAAAAAATGGAAAACACTGGTTCCTGAGGTTTCCAGCTAAAGAAGTGAAGTAGCCATTTCACTTACTCACTAAGCATGCTGCTGTGGCTACAACTCAGAACCCACATGCACCCAGCACTCTCTGGGCACCCACCTATTCCACACTTCAGCCAGCAACCCGCCAAAGTCAAGGGCCTCCTCTCAGGGGAAAAACTCCAAAACCACCAGCAACAAGCAGACTGGACCGTCAGTGAGTGTTCGTCAATCCTCCCAGTACATCAAGAAGTCAAATACCCAGCAAAGGTCCTGCCTGTGCTCCTCCGTCCCCCGCAAGACGAAGAGAGTCCTAAGCCCACCGCTTCCGACCCTTAGCATGGGACCTGGGGCAAACAGCATGCTCTCTCTGGGTCTTTACTTTTATTTTTGTAGCCTCACCAGAGGGCATTTTTTCATTGCTTTTAGAGACAGAGAAACACTGATGCCAGAGAGAAGCACTGATTGGTTGCCTCCTCTAAACGCCCAGACACAGGACTGAACCTGCAACCTAGGGGTGTGCCCTAACTGGGAATCAAACCTGCAACCTCTGGGTCACACACAGGACAATGCTCCAACCAACTGAGCCATACTGGCCAGGGCTGGGCCTTGCTTTTTAAATATGGTATTGCTCTTAACTTCTATTCAGGAAACATTTAAAGGATCCCAGGAACCCTAATAAGTGCTAAAAGGCACACATGAGTGGCTCACAAAATACCAAAAGTTGTCCAAAATGGCCAGATGCTTGTATCTCTGCATATACTTTTCCAGGAGGTACTACTACACAGGAACTGAAAAGTTGTTTTTTCTGGATCAAAAGATGAAATTTCAGGTACGGAAGTGGCAATTCTGCCCTGCTCTATCAACCCTCACACTACATGCCCCTCCCCTACTTTTCTCTCTTCTCCTCAAAACAATTTTCATCAAAAAAATACAGCCATCCTACCGACTGGAGAGTTTTAAGATTTCAGCCTCAGACTTTCGCTTCAGGATAAACAGTATAATTATGCTCACCAGTTTCTAAACTCCTAAGGCCTCTTAATAACCAATATGTTTTGATCAGTAAAATACTTAGAAATCTACTACTTCGTTTGGATACAAAATTCCTCCACAGCCAGCTATCACCCTGTCGCTCTCCCATACTGGAAGGCACGGATGGAAACGTTACTAACAGGGAAGACGCCCCAGGTCCTCAAGGGACGCACCTCTCGCTTGGCCGCCGTGCGCACACGAATACACAAACTCTTTCCTGCAGTTGAAACATAGTAGGCCTACACAAAGAGGAAGTTTTTCTAGATTCCTCCAAATCATGAGCAGCTGGTACTGGGAAGGATCTAACTCCCCAGGACCGAACACAACGACAGTAATTATTAGTCATAATTTCAACTTCTCTTGATTAGAGGAAGCAGAACTTTGGATAGACCTTATTCTTTAAAAAAAAAAAAAAAAAATTTTTTTCCCTTAAATTCTACTTTAATCCAGCCTGTCAGAACAATGAGGAAACCACAGTAATACCATTAGCAGTTTCTTACCCCATCCTTCAGACAGAACAAAATCTGGGCAGAAATGCCACAGGGTTTTGAAAAACATAAATAAGTGAATGCAGTTTTCACCAGTGGAAGCAAAGTGGTTCAGGCCACGCCCTGAAAAGAACTTGCATCGAAAAGAAACAAAACAACACTTCATGAACTAGAGCATCAGGGGGGCCTCCCAAGCCTTATTCCAGGGCACTGGAACTTCATGTGCACCCAACGCTACGATGCTAAAATGAGCATGAAAGACAGGAAGAAACAGGAAACAGGAGTTCTGGCTAAGGGTCGTTTCAACATAGCGACGTTAGAAGGGGTTTCGGGGGGGGGGTGTGAGCGCATGCGCACGCATGCTTACTCTCTTGTCTGGAAAAGTAACCTTCAGCTTCCAAAGTGGGTTCCCTCAACAACATAGCCTTCCTACAAATCTTCACAACTGGGGGAAAACTACCTAGCAACCGACGCCACCAAGTTCTCTGGAGGGATGACTGCAGAGCGGCCGTCGCTCTCCAAAGTGAAAGCACCGGTTACTTACGCATACACACCGGGCATATACACCTGAAGGCCGTTCCTTTCAAAGAGACGCCACAGGAAGTTGCACTTACTCAAAAAACGCTGCCATCACTCAAAAGCTTAGACGTTTTTCTGGGTTTGCTTTAGAGTACACTGTTCATTCTTCTGAATGCACAGCAGTGGAATGTGCATATTCCTCATTTCAATTTATGTCTTGCTTACTTCCTAGAAATATTTCCAGCAGCTTATACTAAAAACTTTTATGCTTATGTACACAGAATATTGTATGGCTTCCTCAGGTGACCTTTCTGAAAGGCATCTTTCAGTAAATTTTTATGCTTTGTAAGTGTTAATTCCTGTTTGGGGAAGAAAGGAGTCAAACTCCATACCTTTAACCTCAATTTCTCCCCCCCACCCCCCGTGTTTCTGACAACACAAACAACTGCTTATTTCTCTCTATGCACAACTCTGCTTCTGCATCGCTCGGCTAAGATGGTACTAAGTGAGACTGATCACTTTTCTGAAAGGGGATTTTCAGACAGTGTCGGTCTGACCCCTTGGCTTTAAACAAGGACACGGGTGCCCTAACTCTGTCCTTTGGACACAAAAACAGTTTCAACCTCACACTCTTATTCCCCGAGCCTCTGCACCATGTCCACACTGGAACTCTTGCATCTGTAAAACTGCCTGACTACTCTGTGATTGATCTTCTCAGTAGTTCACTGAGTTACATGCACACCACATTAAATGATCTGGCAACGATGAGGATCCTTCACTAATTATTTAGGACATTCCATAAAGCACCGTCTAAAGCTACCCAGCCAGTTACATGAAGGGGAGTTTCGCCCACTCTTCACGCTCGCGAAGACCAGGTCTTCTTCACCCAAGACACGACACGAGGTCAACCCTGGGCTGCTGAACCAAACACTGAGACTCTTCTGTTCCGATGATCACTTCAGTGACTCCGAGTGCGCTCACCCAATGCTCCTGACTGCGCTTCACTGGGCGATAAGCAACAATGAAACCTCGGGCCCACCTTCTCACTTCTCGCACCCCACCTGTGCCTCTGATCTCCGCAGGCGGAGAGGAGACGAGTGACCGTCCAGCCACTGAGGGGTTTCCCTCCATCTCGGCCGCAGACTCATCTTTGAAGCTGCTTCCCATGTTCCCAACTTCCTTTCTGGAATAACTCAGAGCACCAAGAGTAACCAACTGAAGGAGCCCTTGGAAGGATGGGATCTTCATGAACAGGCTTTTCTTTGTTCCAAACACCTATTTATTTTGTAACAAATGGCACCCCTCTGGCATTTGCACTTTGGGAGTGCGTCATTATATTTCAAAGCAAGGATGTTGCTGAACTATCATGCTTAGATTTGAAACTGGTCTGGATATTTTCTTACAGGTTCACAGGAAAATGGCGTGGGAGAAGGGAGGGAGTATCAGACAGAAGCGATGTATGACCAGAGCTTGGCCTGCTCATTCTAGAATGCAGCTGGGGCAGTAGTACCTTCTGACCTGTTGGGGGGAGGGGGAATGTCATGCCACTCATAAGACACTCACCTTGAGAATTTTCACCACCACTCTCTCATTGTTGGTGATGTTAATGGCCTCGAATACTTCACTATACTTTCCCCGACCAAGTTTTCGGACCAGTTGGTAATCATCTTGATTACTGTGAAAGGCAAGAGGAAAACATAAATGCCAGGACTTGGGATCCACCCAGCCTAGGCTCACTGTACCTACCCCCCTCCCCCGACCCGGCCAGCCACTTCCAGTGTTCAAGCACTTGGAAGTGCCCATCCATCAGGCCCCAACTCATTCCCTAAATGAAGGCCACAACACAAACTTGGCTCCCTCCACTCTGCACAGAGCTCCTAACCTAATTGGTCCCTCACAACTTGGGGAGAGGAGGCAGGAAGGCACCGCTCGGGAGCCCATCTAGATGGGTGAGCGCAGCACCCACCCGGGTCTCGCAGGGGAACCCTCTGCCCGGAGAGCCACAGCACCTGCCCTGGCACACCGCGCTGGCTTTGAGAATCTGAACGTCTTTTAAAAATTTCCTCCCACCCAGCCTTATTTCAAAAAAACTGAAAAGGCATGGAATTTTAATACCTCCAGCTGTTGACTTCCCACCCCAACAGAAACCCAAAAGTACGAGCAGAAGGGGCTGCTCGCTCCCTCCCTCCCACCAGGGCCTGGTCTCCGGACCCCCTCTTCTCCCCAGGCAGAAAGCATTTCTCGGGGTTCGGGAGGCAGAGGCGCGCACGGCGGGGAGAAAGGGACGGGAAGGGGGCGAGGGGGACAGGGATAAGGCTCTGCCCCCCACCGCAGACCCGGGACGCGCGGGCCCACAGCGGACCGGGCGGGGCTGGGGGGGGGGGCGGCGAGGGCCAGGCAGGAGGCGGCGGCGGCTTTACCCCCAGCTCGGGACGTGAGCCTCATAGTCCCAGTACTCGCGGCTCCTCAGGCTGTTCACCTCGGCGTAGACCCGGGCCCTGCTGCCCGCGGCCGGGCCGGGCATGGCGGGCGGGACCGGGGGGCGCCGCGGGGCGCCGAGGGCGGCGGCGCGGCGAGGGGCGCCGGGCGGCGGGCGGAGGAGGCGGCGGGCCGCGGGGCGCCGGAGGAGGAGGAGCAGCGAGACGGCGGGCGGCCACGCCAGGCCGGGCCCGCGGGGGGCGGGCGGACGGGCGGGGGGCACGGGGGGCGCCGGCCGCGCCGGCCGGGCCCTGGAGCGGCCGGCGGAGCGTCGGGACGGGCGGCGCTCGCGCTCCGCGGCGGCCTCCGCTCGGCTCGCGGCCCCGGGGCGGCGGCGGCGGCGACGGAGGCGGCACCGGCAGCGGCGGCCGCCGGCCGGGAAAGGGACGGCAGCCGCGGCGGCGAAGAAGGAGAAGGAGGAGGAGGAGGAAACCCGGAAAAAGGGCCGCTCTCTCTAGGAGCGGCCGCCTCCCGGCCGGGACCGCCCAGGCTCACAGCGCCCCCTGCAGCGCGGGGGGACCCGCCGGGTGGCGCCGGCCCCGCCCCCGGCTCCCGCCGCCGAGACCCCGCTGCGAAACTCGCATCCGCGGTCCGGCCGGACGCGCTCGCCCTCCCCCACCCACAGCCGGCTGCTCTCAGCCTGAGCCACGTGTACCCTTTGGGGACTGTCCTACCCCAGCCCTCCGCCCGCTATTCATCCAGAGTTTACCCACCCCGACTTCCTGTAAGGACCCTGTTCTGACTGTTCCCATCAAGTCCCTCTCCGATGATTCTCTCTCAACACTCAGCACCTCCCTCACCTGAAGATTTCTCCATCCCTCCCAGAGACACCCCCTCCTCCCCCTGGGCCGTTCCTTGACACCTGTAGACTCGTCTATCTCAAGCCTCCCCCTCCTCTGTTTATCCAGAGCCTTCCTCATAAAACCCTTCTCTTAACACTTTCCCAAAAACCTCCTTCCAGCGCTTGCCTAAGAGCCGTCTGAATATTCAGTCCCTTCACTTGATTAAGCTGGCGACGGCCAGGTTGCTCACTGTGAACTTCCTATTTTTCCCCTTTGTAATTAAAAAGCAGTATGTGGGAGACACTTAGGGCCTAGATAAACACCCTGGTTTTGTTTGGGAGGAGAACTGAAAGAGGCCAGGCTGAAGGGACAGGCTAGGGGTCAGGCGTGGACTGAGGGCCAGCTGGCCGAGCAAACTTTGGCTATGTTAATAATATGTTGTATTCTAGCTCATAACACCCTTCTCCCTTCGACCTTCTGGGCCTTTCTTTTGTCTTGTGATCCCCCCCTTTATCAGGAGAACTTCCTCACGCAGCCCAGGTTGCTCTGACGCCAATCCTTCACATTGTTTTCTGGATGAAACCCTGCTTTCTCTTTCTTGATATGGTAAAGAAGACAGATTGTGAAGTCAGATGCATCCAGGTTTGAGCCCCAGCTCCGCTACTTACAAGCTGTGTGGCCTTGGGCCAATAACTGAACCTCTCTGTGCTGCAGATTTTACAGCATAAAAACAGTAATGGCACCTACTTCACAGGTCTATGGGGAGAATTAGACCCGGTAAACACTGTAAAAAAAAAAACAAAAAACACTTAGAATACCCTCTAGCGGATGTTAAGTGCTCAATGTTATTATCACCAGACCCAGGGCTTTCCTCCTGTCACTTTCCCCTCCCTGAGACCACCACATGCCCTTTCAGTGCCTTGCATCCTGCAAGCTTGGCCACCTCTACCTCCTCCACCTTCACCTTGCCATCCTCGGCTCCTTGTACCTCTTCGAGTCTTACCTTTAAGGTCACTTTCAATGCCAGAGTTGATACTTCTCTGGTCAGCACCCTATCCACATCCTTCAGAAAGTGGCATATGGGGGGTGGTGAAGATTTTATTTATTTTGAGAGAGAGCGGAAGGGAAGGAGAAAGAGAGGGAGAGAAACATCAATGTGTGATCGCCCCTCCCATGACCCCCACCACAGACCCGGCCAAAACTCAGGCATGTACCCCAACTAGGAATCGAACTGGAACTCTTCGGTTTGCAGGCCCTCGCTCACTCCACTGAGCCACACCAGCCCGGGCAGAAAATGGCATATTCTGTAATTATCTCTTTGTCTCCTTCATTGTGAAAACAGCAGGGGAGCACAGACTGAGTCAGCACGTTCATCCCTGGCTCACCCAGCATTCGCCACAGTTGGAGGCTTTCAGTGCACACAGGGTAACCCACAGTTCACGTATTAATTCCAAAGGGGAACCTGGAGGTCATCCCTTTGGCCATGAATCAAACTTACCTTCAATAATGGACTCACAGGCCCTCTGACATGATGAACCAAGAAGGGACATGCTGTCTGCCAAAAGTGCTTAACTTGAGTCTAATGACAACGACACAATCAGGCAAGTCCAAACCGGGGGGGCACGCTACAGAACAGCTAGCCTGCACGCTTCAAAAATATCAGTGTCGCCGGAGAAGACAAAACTCTGCAGCAGCATCCTTGATTAAAGGGGCCTGAGAGGTACAACTAAATGAAGTCTATAATTCTAGACTTGATCCTGGGTGACAAAGGCAGGAAGGAAAGGAGGGAGGCAGAGAGGGAGGAAGGGAAGGGAAAAAAATGCAGCTGAAAGAACACAGCACTATTGGGACTACGGGGGAGATGTGAATAGGAGATACATGTATACATTACACAATAGTGTTGTCCAATGTTGCGATTGTATTGTCCAATATGGTTATGCAGGAGAATCTCTTGATCTTAGAAGTTACATGCCACGTGTTTAGGGAAGAAATGTCAGTATCTACAGCTTAACCTCCAGCGGTTCTCTGGAAAAACATGGGTTCCCGTGAGCGGGAGCAAGCACACAGGAGAGGGGAGCAACTGGGAGAAATGGTGACAAAGGGAGAAGGCAGTTGGACTACGTCAGCGTGCAACATTTCGGCAAATTTGAAAAAAAATGTTTTAAATGCGCTATTTATTTATTTTTAGGGAGAGGAGAAGGGAGGGAGACAGAGAAGGAGAGAAACATCATTGTGAGAGGGAAGCATCAATCAGTTGCCTCTCGTACGCGACCCCACCGGGGACCGAACCCACAACCCAGGCATGTGCCCTGACCTTTTGCTTTGCCTGGCGACGCTCAACCCACTGAGCCACACCAATCAGGGCAGATGTGAACATTTTCAAAGTGAAAACTAGAAGAAAAGAAAGCATTTGTGAAATAAGTGGACTTTGAGATTTTAATTCCCCCAACCTGCAAACCTCTGTAAATCTCTGTCACCCAGGAAGACGTGAACATTCTCCATTTCTTAATGCAGCCTTAGGATTTCCTGGCAAGTTCCTGCCAACTAGTCAAGACCAGAGGTGCTTAATGTTGAACCCTCGGATGAACTTCCTGGGTCCCAGGAGCCCCTGACACCTCATGCAAACTTGGTGGGTGGGTGTGCCTGCATTCCCTTGTTAGCACCCCTGCGGTTCTCAAAGGAGGCTGTGACCCACAAACGGTTCCAAACCGCTGGTCCAGCCCCGGCTGGAACCCCATTCCTTGCCTCCACCCTCGCCCACCTCTGCGTGCATCTACCCTCCCTGCACCTTCGTCTCCTCCCCCCCCCACCTCACCCACACCCATCTCACGTAACCTGCTCCCACACCTGAAAGTGTGCCTAAGGATTCACCCACACACACTCTGGTGCAACACGCTCCTGGATTTGGCTGACACTTCACTAACTCAACCCTGAAACCTGCAGTCAGTCCTCCCACGGCCAAATGGAGTATGTTTTTATGGCTTGTTGGTAAGTAGGTGGGGCACCCCATGGAACTGGCGAAGACCTACCACCCCTCCTTCCTGCTAGCTCACCGTCAGTGTACTTGGTGTGGATTAAGATGGGCAATTAGAAATGGTGCCGCCCATGCAACCCTCACTGAAGGAGTAAGTCTCGTGGTGGCTTTGTGGGGGCAGGTGTGTGTGTGAAAGAGAGAGAGAGTAAGAGAGAGAGAGAGAGAGAGAGAGAGAGAGAGAGAGAGAGAGAGAGAGAGAAGGGGAGAAGAAAAGAGGGAGAGGGAGAGCGAGAGACAGGGCAGGGTGGTTCAGTGAACCAGAATCAACTTCCCCTAATTACTCTGCATGGGGGCTTGGGGATGAGTGTAACTCAGGGTTCCATAGGGGAGAGTGAAATAAGGCCTCACAAGTCAGCCCAACAATTTTATACCAACTCCTCCTATGACCCCGAATTCTATCCAAACACCCTCCAGAAGCAAAACAAAACAGAACAAAAACATACAAGAATGTTAAATCCTCAGAACACTTCCTATCTCCATAAGGCCCATTTCCAAAACATTTAAGAGGTTTATAGGCTTTTGTTCTGTATTGCTGGTTCTAAGAACCTAGCCTAAGGAAATAATGGAAATTGTGGTCAAAGAATTATTAAGAGTGGTGACAATTTGTGTGTTTGATATCATTGAACCCTGCAAAAATCCTGAGGCTAGAAGCCATTGAATTAACACTTTAAATGGGTGAATTGTACCGTATGTGAATTGTATCTCAAGAAAGTTGTTTAAAAGTTCTATGAGATCCTGGATGGCATAGTTCAGTGGATTGAGCGTGGGCTTTGTACCAAAGTGTTGCAGGTTCGATTCCCAGTCAGGGCACATGCCTGGGTTGCAGGCCATGGCCCCCAGCAACCGCACATTGATGTTTCTCTCTCTTTCTCCCTCCATTCCCTCTCTAAAAATAAATAAATAAAATCTTTTAAAAAACCAAAAAACTGTTTCTTCTTGAAAAAAAAAAAAGTTCTATGAGATTAGGTTTGTTGTAAGGATTGCCTTTTTGCAGTCTAGGAAACGAAGACTCTAATGAACAGATCGTTGAGGGGAGCCAGGATTTGAACTCTGGTCTTTTGGATCCCTCAGTCTATTGCTTTAACTCTTTTATGATTCAGTTTAGCCCCCAAAAGACCCAAAGATAGTCTTCATAAAAAAATCATCATCTTTAAATTATGGAAGTATAAAACAAATATCCCAAATTGGGGATCACTTAAATAAACTGGTATATCCTTACAGTGCAGTATTGGACATCCCTAAAAATTATGATTCTCATGAATTTTTAGTAATGAGACAAATTTTATTATGTAAAATTTTTAAGTATGTTTATAAGTTACCTAAGCGATCACAGTAAGCGGAATAATGCCACGCTCCGCGCCTTTTGTGTGCAGTAAGAATGCACGAT